TTGAGAACCACTGGTGTAGAAGGTGCACATATAAAATTTAGAGAAATTGACAGCTAGCAGAATAAAGATTTTTATGGGGTAGAAGGTGCACATATAAAATTTAGAGAAATGGACAGCTAGCAGAATAAAGAATCTAAGGGCTTGAAATATGGATTTAAAGAACAAATAGAGGTCTTTGTTCTTATATGAAATAAATTAATGGTGTAAGGGGAGGACGTGAAGAGGCTTGATCTAATAAAATAAAGACCTAAGGATTTAGATACATCCTCACCACCACCACCTCCCTGGCGTGAGCTGCCACTCTTTCTCCCCTGGTGGATTCCAGGAGTCTGTCAGTGGAGGGCTTTCCTGCTCCTTGCCTCTCTCCAGTGTAGCCTGGACATGCGGCCAGAGTGGTCTTGTTAAACATTTGTTGGGTGTTTTGATGAACTCTCAGTGGTGGCCCATTGCACCCGCACTACATCACCCCCGTCCTTAGCAAGGGTCTGCCAGATGCAGGTGGACATGCTGGTGTCCTCTTTGAGCTCTCCGACCTTTTTTCCTGCCCGTCTCCCCTCACGCCTGTGCTGCAGCCCCTCTGCCTCCCTGCTCTTCCCTCCCCACGCCAAACCTTTACACTAGCTGCTGTCTTGATCATGAGAGCTCTTCCCTTGATCAGTGTGGATTGCTTTCTTTCTTCTTCAAATAGTATTTTCTCTATTTTTTTTTCTACTAAGTGTGTTTTTATTGATTTTAGAGACGGAGAGAGAAAAACATTGATCAGTTGGGGGAGCAAATCTGCAACCCAGACATGTGGTCCAATTGGGAATCAAGCTGGTGGCCTTTTGGTGCATGGGACGATGCTCAGCCCACTGCGATACACTGGCCAGGGCTTCGTGGTTTGCTCTTTTGTCTCCTTCAGGTCTCTGACTGCTCAGGAACCTTCTCAGTTAGACTTTCCCCAGCACGACATTGAAAAGTAGAGTACCTCTCTCTTTTCTCTGTTTTGCTGTAGCACTGATGATTAAATATTGTACTTATTTTGCTCCTCTGGCTTCCTTACTAGACTGGGAGCTCCACAAGGAGGGGGAGTTTTGGTCTCCCGCCTTCCCGCCATCTCTGTTATATCCCAACACCTAGAACAGCGTCTGGCACAGAGTAGGTGGGCACTCGGTAAATATTTGTTGGGTGTATATTTAAAGCATAAAATAATGAACATGTGATAATCGCAGGGTTCAGCTGATATAAAAGCTAACGGGATGTTGGGCCTGATGCAATTATGGGCCTTACGCAGTGTCCGCACTATACAGAAAGATTTATGTCAGGAATTGGCCAGCAAGTCCAAAATCTGCAGAGCTGATGTTCCAGTTCGAGGTCTAAGGCCAGCAAGCTGCTGTAGGACAGGAAGAGCTGCTGGGCAGGGGAGTTCTCTTACTGGGGGAAAGGGCCAGCCTTTTGTTCTATTCAGGCCTTGATGTGATTGGACGAGGCCCCCACACATTAGGATAAGGGCTATCTGTTTTAGTTACTTGCCAATTTAAATGCTAATCTCATCCCAAAACACTCTCACAGGAATGCTCAGAAGAGTGTTTGACCAAATATCTGGGCCCCCTGTGGCCCAGTCAAGTGGACACATAAAATCAACCATCACAGTACACATTGGTCAGACCACACCCAACCTCCTCTCCCCAACCCCCCAGTCCTCAGTCTTGTCCCGGGCACCACATTTCAGACTGCTGAGGGATACCTGCCAGCCATGGTGTCTGGGGACTAGCTGCAGTGCCCCAAAGAAGTGAAGTGGTAAGCAGGGTTGAGTGATATCTTCTAACATTTGAAGGTGTGTCTCCTGGAGGAAAGAGGAAGACATTTCTTTGGTCTGGAAGACACATACATCTCAGTGGTGGAAGGCACATGTTACGGACAGAATGTAAGAACAGAAATCTTCTGCCCTGGGAGCTGGCAAGGGCTTCTTTCTGGAAGGGCTCAAGCAGAAGCCAATTGTGAGCAGGAGTCAGTCTCCTGTTCTGAGCTCGCCCTGGTGCTGTCTTCTGACCGTGATGAATCTCAGCTTCTCTGAGATTCCCTCCTCTCTGCCAGGGAAATCACCTTGTAGGTCTCCCGGCGGACCAGGTGGGAATGACAATGCCTTCTGAAACTGTCTGGGCGTTGGGAGAAGCCTTTTCAGAGCTCGAACCTGGTATAAGGTGACCAGACGTCCCGCTTTTGGTGAGACAGTCTGATTTTTAACAATTTGTCCCACGTCCTGAGGCGTTTTACAACAGTCCTTTTAAAACAGAAGCTTTCAAAAAATCGGGACTTTTTTAAAATGCCGCGGGATATGGGACAGACAAATGGTTAAAAATCGGGACTGTCCCACCAAAAACGGGACGTCTGGTCACCTTAAGCTAGTGGTCAGTGGGCGTGCTGACTAACCCCTTGCCGTACAGAAAATTTCCACTGACCTACAGTCAGGGACGCTTCCCTGCTCCTGGCAGCTTTACTTTCTCACTGAATGTGCCTCACGTGTGGCAGTGACTCCTTCTCCAAATCCCTCGGCCCTGAAGGTAGGATCCTTGTTGCTGCCGGCCCAGGAGAAAGCAGACTAGAGCAGGGCAGATGGTGCCTGGAGGGATGGGCCAGGAGTTCCTGGCTACCCCACGCCATCACTCTTCAGTTACTCCAGGATACATTCCGAAGCTGCTCCCTAGTTCTTCTCTTACCCGCTGTGCACATTCTTGCCTCCGGAATGTTCCAGGGTGACGTATCCCACCTTCCACTTTGAAGAAGTGCATTCCGTGTAGAACGTATTTAAAGCCCAGGGGATTTATTTTATGGCCATAACATGAATGAGAACAAAAGGAACAGAACATCCAGGGCTGCTTGCCTCAACATCCAGCACCGTGCTGGCAGCGGACAGAGGCCTCTGTGCCTCTGTGGATTGTTTCGGTGACAGGCGGCATAAAAATGGCTTCTTAACACAAGTGCTTCTCAGTGTAAAGAAGATTTTACCACAGAGCTTAAGTCAGAAAACCAGATAAACATTGTTTGAAGTTGCGTGTTGATAAGTAGCTGAGCCTCAAATGATTTATACTTAGGTTTGGCAGGTAAATGGCTCAGAGGTTGTTTCTTCTTCTTCTTTTTCTTCTTCTTCTTCTTCTTCTTCTTCTTCTTCTTCTTCTTCTTCTTCTTCTTCTCTTCTTCTTCTTCAAATAATGTGTATTTTTATTGATTACAGAAAGGGAGAAAGAGATAGAAATCTCAAAGATGAGAGAGAATCACTGGTTGGCTGCCTTTTGCACCTCCTGCACTGGCGATTGAGCCCACAACCCAGGCATGTACCTTGACTGGGAATCGAACCATGACCTCCTGGTTCTTGGTCAACGTTCAACCACTGAGCAATACTGGCCAGGTTCAGGGTGTTTGTTTGTTTGTTTGTTTGTTTGTTTGTTTATGCAGGCGATGTCAAAACAAGGCATAAGCTGAGCAGTACCCACTGGTTTTATTTATAACTGGCATTGGGACATTTAGCAAATGTCCTTACCACATTTGATAGCGCTATGTGGAGCTTAATACATAGCAATTGTTCAACAAATGATAACTACTGTTAGTGATCATAGTTTATGGTCAGGTTATTAATAATTAGTTCTGGTGCTCCCAAGCCAATACAAACCAGAAAGGTTCTCTTGTTCTTGATTAAGAACCTTAAATAAAGGAAGGGCTATCAATGTGGGGATCTAGGAGATGTCTGAGTGGTAGTAACATTCACACAGTCCGAAGTAGACCAGGGTTTCTCAGTCACAGACTGTGGACATTTGGATGATTCTTTATTGTGGGACCTGTCCTGTGTGTCACTGCAGGATGTTTAGTGGCACCCCTGGTCTCCATGTGCTAGCTACCAGTGCTTCTCTCTCCCAGTTGTGTCAATCAAAAGTGTTTACAAGCCTAACCAGTTTTGCTCAGTGGTTAGAGCATCGGCCTGTGGACTGAAGGGTCCCAGGTTTGATTCCGGTCAAGGGCATGCACCTTGGTTGTGGGCACATCCCTGGTAGGGGGTATGCAGGAGGCAGTTGATCGATGTTTCTCTCTCATCAATATTTCTAACTCTCTATCCCTCTCCCTTCCTCTTTGTAAAAAAAAAAAAAAACAAATAAGATAAGTTTTTACAGACATTGTCCCCCTGGGAGACAAATCCCCACTGACTAAGAAGCCCTGGTGTAGAGGAAGCTTCGAAGTGCCCACACTGGGCCTAACGGATGATTGTTTTTCAAATTATGGATCCCTCAGTGCCCACCAACACAGGGCTTCTCAGTTGTGGATGGACCATCATTTGCTAGGTCAGTGGTGGTTTCAGTACATTCAGCAAGAGTGTGGGACTTGCATAAATTATCACAAAAGTTTTATTAGACTGAGTCTAACAGCCTCTTGACTTTATTATCTGTGGGAATTTGGGAGTCTTAAAAAATAACCTGCGTGCACATTCATCAGGGGTATGGTGGTGGAGGATGGGCACTGGGGCCATTCTTTGTGTCTCTGTGCTCAGGAGAACCCTTGTTGTGTCGGTGATGCTGCAGCAGGGGAAGGCGTGGAAGTCAAGTTCTCTTGCTGGCAGGACTTGGGGGGTGCTTGCCCTGACCCTGAAGGCCATTCATTCCAAGCCCATCGCAACACTCACCAAGACTTGACTTGAAACACTTTGCAAGATGGGTCTTCAGTTTAGGTATCTGGAAAACAGCCGTGATAATTCATATGATACAGGCTGCAGAAACTCTGCAATCTGTCACCACAAAGTTCTTTAAAAATGTGAAGGGACACCCCATGTCCTCGGCAGCTTCTTCATTCTCGGGGAGGAGGAGTAGCCTTGAGGTGATTCTGTAATCGGCTGCTGAGAAGAGAACCTGCCTGTGGAACAGGGGAAGAGGTTGGATTGGCAGATACCCATTAGTTGTCTGGAAAGGGCTCTCAGTGAGGGCTCAGCTCCAGGTGACGGCACCACGCTCACTCTGCAATTCTCTCTCCTCTAGGTGTCTGAGGGTTCTGTGGTCCAGTTTTCGTCCAGGAACTTCTCATTGTCAGCAAAAACAGAAGAGAGGAGCTTCCCACATGGAAACGAACATCTGTTAACCTGGGCCCGGAAGGAGTACGGAGCAGTCACTTCGTTCACCGAACTCAAGATAGCACGGAACATTTACATTAAAGTGGGGGAAGGTAAACTTAGTGTGACTTCAGCTGAGGGTTGATTTACAGCAGCCCATTGTTTTCTTTCCTGAGACCAGGTGGTTAGGGTTAGGAATCCTGTAATTACGGAACTCTCGGAGCTGGCAGGGACCCGAGGGATCCCTGGGGCCAGTTCCCCCCACATTCCCTCCTTCCCCGTTTTCCTTCTGAGCTAACATGGCCAAGAGAGGAACGGGGGAGTAGCCTGGTTGGGAGAGGAGTGGGGCGGGGAGTTGTGGTGTAGGATTTTAGAAGCCATGCACAGAAATTAGAAAAAGCGAGAAGCCAAGTGTGGGGAAGGAGGTGGTCCCTGGGGTCTGAAGGAGTTGTTGGCAGAATGGGTCAGCAGTTAGGGCTTCGTCTTCCCTATTATTTTGCAAACATTTGAAGCTGACGTCAGTTTATGATTTTGAAATGTCAGTTAAATGTTGGACAACAGCCGAGGAAAGGTGCTTGAATATATTTTTAACACTAAGGCCCGTTGCAAGGGTAAATTATTAGAGAGAGCAACTAACTCTGTAGCCTTGATAGGAGATCGCCCATTTTAATTTCCTTGCCGAGCAGAGGGATATAAATATTCTGTGACTCAATTTTGGAAGCACATTATTTTTAATAACTTTTTTCATTATTACCTCGAGTGGAATATGTTTGGAACCCCCATAAATTACTAGAAATAACAGCTCCCGTGAAAGGGCCCTTGTTACAGCCAGGTGATTGTGTAAAAACTGCACGCCAGGTCTTCGGCCCCCATCTGCTTCCTGGCGACGTACAGCGGCCGCCGCCTCTGCAGACAGCGTGGCCGCTCCCCTGGGTCACTGCGCGCCTGTGCCCAGCCCTGGTTGGACCTGGGCCGGCTGACAGACGCAGGAAAGGTGGGCGCGGACCTCGGAGTGTGCGCTGTGTGCGGAGGCCACAGCAGGTGCTTTCGGGTGCACCACCCCGCCCAGCCCCGCCAGGAACCCCGGGAGGCCACTATTTCCATGCTTTTACAGAGGGGTTCGTGGTGGGGGACGCTGACTCGCCCAAGTCCACGTGACTAGCACGTGGCAAAGCCAGCACTCAGACCCAGGTTTCCGGACTCTGGAGTCGAATGCGCGCTGCCTGATGCTGTGCGCCGTGAAGTCTTCGCGGAATAGTAAGCAGAGCCTGAAGTGACCGTGGGCCGCCTGGGTGGGAAGGCTCCTTCAGCAGAGGAAAGAGAGGAGGAGTCTGAGGCGAGATTCGGGTGTAAGAAGTTGACGTTTGTTGCGAAGCTGACGTGCTAGTCAGGTAGCTCGTACTGGAAGTCGGGTCCATGTGGAGCAAGATAAAACACCTCTTTCCTCAAGGGCTCCAAGCCCTGGCCAGTGGTCTGTCTTTCTGAGACAGTCCCGCCAGCGCGAAAGAAGGTTGGGGACCCCCCTTGGAATTTGTCAGAATAAGAAAACGTGTTACAGTGACATTCAGAGTGCTGGGCTCAGTTCTCTTGACTGTTCCCAAGCCCCCGTGCCCAGCCCTCCCCTGCCCGTCGGGTGAGGGACTCAGTGACTTCCCAAGGCCACCCACTGGGTTGGGGAAGGACATGGCGGCGTCTAGTCCAGGAAAACCTGGCGTGCTCCTTGGTAGCACCTTTGGAGCCCCTGGAACTTGACTGTAGCCACCGGCTGGGCCTACGTCCTTGGCCCACACCAGGGAGAGGAGCAGCTAAAGGGAATGGGAGTCCCGGGTTAGGGCTGTCCATGGGCCACAAGGCGATGTTGTGTCTCCCCATGGGTTTAGGTCCTCTGAGCAAGCCTCTTCAACTAGCTTCCCAGATGCTGACCTTTCTCTACCCTACAACCCAGGGGCCCCAGCCTCCTCGGGCTCTAGCCTCAGTTGTTCTCCAAGTGTGGGCCCCACCCCTGCGGCATCCCTGTCACGTGGGAACTGGTTAGAAATAGCAGTTCCAGGGCCCACCCTGCGGCCCCTGAATGGGAAACCCTGGGGGTGGGTCCGGCCCCCGTGTTTGAAGGGGCGCTGTAGGTGGTTCTGAGGCTCACTCATGTCTGAGAACTACGGCTCTACGCTGAGGGGAAGGACTGCAGAGCTCCGGGTGCCGGTCCCAGCCGGTCTCATTACTGTGAAGCTCCAAGCAGCTCTCCGGTTCACCACCGGAGCCTCAGTTTCTGCAGCAGGAAAAGTGGGAGTTTGCACCACCTCCCAGGCTCAGTGTATATCATTCAAGGTCTCAAAGTCATTTGTCAGCCCTTTCCTGAAATACAAATAAGCATGTGACTGCCCCCTCCCCCCACCCCAAACATGCCAGGTTTCTACCACGGGGATTCCCCTTTGTGGTTTCCTTTCTACTTGGCAGTTGGTGTAAGTTTTGATGCCAGGCATGCAGAAGGTCATTTGGGGGGAGTTGGGGGCGGGGGGGGAAATCACACACACTCACACACATGCACGCTCACACATACACAATAAAAAGAGATTAGCTTAACTCAGCTTAGAGGCAATGGCATCTGAGCCCTTAATAACAGCAACTTTTAAACAATTCAGCCTTTCCTGGTGGCTTAGGAGGGTCACAGTGTAGGTGAGTGCTTTGTGAACGTTTCAAATCTCACATCACCGTTTGTTAATTCAGGAAACCGGCTCCCCCTGTGAACTGAATCTAGAGGCCGGAGTCCCGGGGGAGGGGAAGGGGGGGGTCCTGGAGTTTGAGAGGGGCCTGTCCTGGCCCATCCCCACACCCTCTGCTTCTTAATGAAGTTTCAGCCTTGCCACCCCAGGATCGCTTTCCGTCCTGTGATCTGGGGGAGGCATCCGCAGGGCCGCAGCTGCAGGGTGTGCATTCCTCATCTGCTCCTCTGGCGCACCCCTCACCCCTCGGCAGATGTGGCGGGAGGCCGCTCCGGCAGCCTGAGTTGGCGGAGGCCTGGCCCTGCTCTCTGAGGGGGTCGTTAGGGAAGGACGCAGAGTGCGGAGCTAAGGCTCTCCGGGAAGGAGCTGCAGGCGGGGAGCATCCTGGGCTCCTCTGGCCCCCTCTGTGCTCAGGACGGCTCTGGGGGTGCCCTGGTGCACGGAGCCCTGTTGCCACCACGTGTACTGTTCACTTCCGCACGAGGGAGGCGGCACAGGTCGGGCAGGGGTGAGGGAGGGAATGGTCAGCCCAGCCTCGGGGCCTCCCCGGCTGATTCCTCGCTCCTCGGTGAGACCTGCAGGTGAATTTGAACCCTGGCGTCCTGTGCGTTAAATGCAAAGGGCAGGCGTGTGTCTCATTAAAGTGCCAGGGCTCTGATTAATTACCCCTTCTGCAAGGGGCTTGCTACACCTAGAACTTCCTGGATGCTGGTCCCAGCTGTCACCGTGCCAGCAGCTTCAAGTTCTGTTTAAACATTTAAACCACGGAATGGAAATCCCATCAGCCACAGAGCCGTGCAAGCGGCGTGTGCCACTGGGGGAGTGTCTTCAGGCCCAGGTCCTTGCTTCACTTTCCCTGGTGGGGAGAGGAGCGGCCCTCGCAGGGTGAGAGGGTGTTTGTGAGAGCACCGGGTAAGCTGGGCGCTGCCATAGAAACATCAGTCATCCAGGGCAAGTCTGCGGGAAAGGACGAGAGTCTGCCCTCACTGCGTTCCGCCAGCTCCCGCCTTCGGTCTTGAAAGCACACAGTGCTGCGAGGAATAAATACGAGGGAATGAGCTGCTGTGCGTGGTGGGCCAGAGGTGAATTAGGTAGCTGGCTCTCCTATTAACTGAGGTAACAAATATGCAAGGAGGAGCATGTGGGGGGTAGGCTGGCTCGGTGGATGCGGCGTGGCGTGTGCTGACTGAAATCTTCAGAGGTTTTAGGTGGGAGGTGCTTGGTAGATAGATGACAGCCCAGGTCTGCAGCTCAGAAAAGGCACCAGGATCAGGAGCTATGGCAGTGATGGAGGTCATGCAGGGAGACAGACTGTGAGACACAAAGATGGAGGAAGGAAATGAGGGTCTTAGCCTTGGTGTCCTGTCAGGATCAACTGTGGCGCTTTTCACGAGGAAAGCTGCTCGGCTCCCCTGGGTCTTCTGGATCAGGCTCCCTGGGATGGTGGGTTCTTTTTAAATAAATAAATAAATAAATAAATAAATAAATAAATAAATAAATAAATTTTATTGACCTTTTACAGAGAGGAAGGGAGAGAGATAGAGAGTTAGAAACATCAATGAAAGAGAAACATTGATCAGCTGCATCCTGCACGCCCCCCCCCCCCCCACAATGTGCCCACAACCAAGGTACATGGCCTTGCCCGAAATCGAACCTGGGACCCTTGAGTCCGCAGGCCGACGCTCTATCCACTGAGCCAACCTGGCCAGGGCGAGGGGTGGGGATTCTGATATGCACCCACGACTGAGGGCCACCAGGGTGTACAGGACGAGCGGAGGCGGAGGAGCTGGTGAAAGAGCCTGAGAGATTTGTCAGAGGAAAAGGACGAGGACCAAGAAGTGTCCCAGAGATCAGGAAAGGGGGGGATTTAGACCAAGAGAGGCCAGTAGAGTCGGATCAGTAGGAGGTCACTGGTCACTAGACGGGAGGCATCTTAGGGCCGAGGCTGAAATCTAAGACCCCTCCTCAGCACTTAAGGTTCTGGTGCCTGGCCTTTCTTTCTTTTGAATCTGGTTACATCATGGCAATCAGTGGCTCCACAGGTGGTTCTGCGCTTCTTCCCTTTCAGATCAAGTGTTCCCACCTGCATGCAACATAGGGAAGAATTTCCTCTCGCTCAATTACCTGGCTGAGTACCTGCAGCCCAAGGCAGCAGAAGGGTGTGTGATATCCAGGCAGCCCCGCGACAAGGAAGTGCACATCATCGAGTTAATCACCCCCAACTCGAACCCCTACAGGTGAGTGCACGGGTGTTCTGAACTGAGACCAGATGAAAATAGATGCCTTTCCCGACTGGAGGCAGGGAGGGGCCGGCCCTTCCTGTGTGTGTGTGTGTGTGTGTGTGTGGGTGGGTGGTGGGGGGAGCCACGTGCTTAGGGTGAGAGTCACAGAAGCCTTGAAGAGGGGAGCAAAGGCACCAGCAGTCCATCTTATTTTCTGCACCTGTCTCTGGTCCTCTCTATTGCAGTTGAGTTCCTGAAGCCTATTCAGAACTTCTTGGTACGAATGAATAAGACACAGTCATTCTTTTTAAAATAACTTTTTAAAATTTATTAGTTTAATCTTTATTGTCTTCTCCTCACCCCTACCCATTGCCCTCTCCCACCTACCTTCCCCCTCAGCACACAGTCATTCTCGCTCTATCATTATCTCCTAGGAGGTTATCCCTGGCAAGAAAATTACAAAATGTGTCTTATCAACGTAATTATTATTTGAATAATATTCTGTGTTTATAGAATCCTGTTCCTAGTGTCATCAGAGCACCTTTACACTCATAACTGCTTACTTCCAAGCTGTGTGCATGCATGTTGGGGGTGGCCCTTCATGGTGACACACCAAACAGCCCTTAGACATAACTTACCTCTCCCTTCTTCCTCTCCCGCCTCAACTTCCTGAGTCAGGCCGGGAAATGTAACCCTCCCTATCAAGAATGAACAGGGAAATAAAATAATTTTTTTAAAAAAAAGGAAATAAAAAGGGGGAAAGTCAACTCTTCCACTTTAGCCTGCATTTCATGTGGACTAGTGACTTAAAAATGTCAATTTATTTTGTAGAGGGACGTCAAAATTAAATTCTAATCAAATTTTGGTTTTAAAAAATGAATCAACTACAGCTGAGTTTTGGTAAGAGTCCATTCTGTCTCACGTGGCGAATTTTGTGAAAAATTAAAAGTGAATGAGAATAGAGGCAATCTGGCAAATATGCTGCGATATTAAGCCGAAGGCTTCATTCAAATCATTCATTTTATTCTTTACAAGTGTGTAAAACCACAATGGAAAGACTTCCCTTTAAATTCAGAATGACAGAGATGTTATTGTTTGATAAAAATTCTCTTTTATACTGAATTCTTCAAAGTTTGGGTTGTGCTCATCAATTTTCCAATATTCACTTGGATGACCATCTGTTTTCTTTATTTTAATAACTGTATATCCAGAAGTTTGGGAAAGTAAGTGGCAGATAGGACTCTGTGGTAAATGTTAATGGCTTAAGCAAACCTTTTTGGCTCTTATTCTGAAGTTACCTATTTTTTTTTCACTGCCATGCCTCCCTCCTCCCTGCCACCCACCACTCATCAAACTGCTGCCCATTTCTGGCCTTGAAGGGTTTTGAACATATAGCATTATGGAAAGTTACTCATGGAAGCACCAAAGGTGTTGAAGGTTGAAAAAGCAATAATTTTGCTTCAAAAGCAAACTCTTCTGATTTGTTTAAGTCCATTTCAAACAGTGGCTGCATTAACCACCTTTTTTTTAAAATTTTTATTTTTCCCTCAAAGAGGAGAAAAACTGGAGTGGCTAATTATCAGCAGCATATTTTCCTATTGTTATGTAAGGCTGTTTTGTTGTGTGTGCACTAACAATCTGTTTTGCACATGTCATTTGCCTGGGATCTGCTCCAGCTTTTTAATCAACTGGCCAGACACTGGAAACATGAAGACTTGGAAGAAGGAAGATAGTTGCAACTTTCTGGCATTTGGGTCCTAACTCTGCCTTTGTTTTCCACTCACAGCTCTTTCCAGGTGGATATCATAATTGACATAAGGCCTTCTCGAAAGGATCCCGAGGTGGTCAAAAATCTCATCTTGATTTTAAAATGCAAGAAGTCTGTCAACTGGGTGATCAAATCTTTCGATGTCAAGGGAAGCCTGAAAGTTGTTGTAAGTTGGTTGAGCATTTCTTTGTTTTGATGACTGGCAGTCATGTAAGCCATGCTTATACGTGGTACTGTTGTCAAGTCTCTGCCTCTTTGGACTCTCAGCAATTTTCCGCTCTGTAAAATAACCTGCTCCTTGGCTCCTCCTGATGAGGGTGAATAGTGTGACGTTTGAAATGATGGCCCCTGGGGTCAAGACAGACCCAGAGTTGAGTAGAGACTCTGCCATTTACAAACTGTGGCCTAGGGCAAGTCCTGTAACCTCTGTGGTCCTCGTCTGTCCCGTTTGTGACATGCCTGAAATACATTGGTGCATTTCCCAGCATGCTAAGTGTCAGATAATGAACACAATTCAGCCTCTCATGATTGAGTCCTGGAAGAGCCATCCTCTCGACTTTTGAGATAAACACGTGATATTGGCATGTCTTTTCTCAGAGTGCAACACCAATGATAGATTCACAATAATGAGATGTTAGTGGGATGACACTAGAGAAACCCTGCCCCCAATCTGTTCCCTAAGCGTTGTTTCATGAAGGAAATATGCTGAAGGTGCTTAGCTGGTTGGCCTGATGGGCAAACAGCAGCTAGTTCTTGAAAAGTTGAATGTTGAAGTTTGGTAAAATGAGACTGTTTCAAATACATTGAGGGAAATGACTATTTGACAGAATATTGGAGCAAATCATAACGAAAGTCAAAGAAAAATCCCCCTTCTGATTTTTAAGAAGATAATAACCTCTTTAGCATCTCTTTTGCAGGCTCAATTTTTTGTGCACTGTTTTTTTTGTTTTGTTTTGTTTTGTTTTTAATCATGGCCATTTCGTCTTTCTATATCTGCATTGAATCCATTGGAGGGGGTATTATGTTTGCAGTGTCTGGGAGAGGGAAGCCTTTGGTTTGGGTATCATTGCTTCATGGCACCTTCGTGCGATACAGCAGAGAGCAAAACCAGCGGTCCCCCAGGCAACGTCATGTACAGGCCTCACCAGAGGCAGCAGGCAAAGCCGCGAACACACACGTCTTAATTTAAAGTAATCGTTTCTGGTTCCTGTGGTTTTTCCTTTTAAACTTTGAAAGCATCCAAGCAAGCCATCCTGTGTAAGGATGATACATTAATTTGGTGTTGAGCACAAGGCCCAGCAGTGATTTTGTGAAGTCAGAGCTGTGTGGGTTGCCTTCCCTGGCAGGGCCCTGAGGGATGCCGGTGACCTGAGGTGTCTGCAACCTTTGCTGCCTGGCACACCATTCAAGTGTTTTTAACTTCAGAATAACAACAACAGGAAAGGGAATCGTGCTTTGAAAGTCAAAAACATACGGCACATTTTATTTCCCTGCTGGAGTTCTTGTGTAAATGTTCCCTCAGCCCCGACCTTCAGGGCTCTGTCTGTCCCTGAGTATGAGTGCCTGGCCCGTGGAGGTCCTGGGGTTCGCTCTGAATGTCTCCACTTTGGCGAATGGGGGATTGCTCATCTCAGTGTAAGATGTGTTTATATTTCTCTCCTTGGCTGTACTCCTGTTCCAGGCCAATTTTGGACAATGCATGACAGCATTACTAAACAATTAGGTAATGTTTCATGATGTTCTTTTTTATTCCCCCAATCGGTTTCATGCTTTGTGATTTCCTAACTCCCTGTCTGAGATGTGAATTCTAACTGTGCAGTGAGGGAAAGTTACCTACTAATAAGAAGGCATACGGTTGTGCTTAGAAAGAGGAACATGGTTTATAGTGACCTTGTTTGTAGTATGTCCTTTGAAGACAGTATGGTAGAGTGGAAAGAGTCCTGGCTTTGTTTCCAGACAGGCCTGGATTCAAATCCCATCTCCAACTGTCGTTACTCCCATTTGAACTCTAGTCTGTTTCCTTAGCTGTGACATGGATATGATGAGAGTACTCATCTTGAGAGTAATTGTGAGGTTTAACAGAGTTTGTTCATTTGTTCATTTATCCATTTAACAAGTATTTGCTAAGCGGGCACTGGGTATATTATCTAATATACTTGGCACCTGCCTGCACAGGGTGAGTTCCAGCTCGTGCTTCTAAACTTCTGTGAGCCCCAACTTCCCCTTCTCCAGCAGAGAAACAGCAGTGCCTGTTTCCTTATATTTTAGAGGTCAATTAAGTAAGGTAGCCTAGGTAAAGCTCCTAGCACAGTACCTGTGCCTTACAAAGGGAGTTCATCTTTCCTCCGTAAGCGACCCTTGAAAGTTTGTCTATAGGATCAATTAACTTCTATAAACAAAGTGAAAACAAAGAAAATTGTCTACTAAATGATTGTAAGGAACTTGATGGGGTAATTTAAAGAAGAGCACGGGTGGCAGGTGTATGTGTGAAGGGTGGGGTGTGAGCAGAATGAATCTTCCAAATGACACAGAGGTCCAAAGAGATGCAAAGGTTGTGCTGTGGGCAAGAATGGAAATTCCAGATGTGTCTTCCTTGCTGTGCACGCCCTAGCTTTTCCTTTGCATAATCGCATCTTGGAAGAACCTCCAAAACATAAAAGAATAGATGGAGGAAACGTGTTAAAAGTTTATTGTTGTACTCTTTCATGGCCTTAGGACTTTAAGGTTGAAAATAGCCAGTTTGTGCTTAGACACTTTTTTTTTTTTTCATCCCAGTGGGAATATGGACCATACTGTCTGGCCAGCCCTTCCCACGGGCCCCTCCCCTACACCAGCAGTTCTGATGCAAATGTGTGTTGGGTGGTCAGGGAGGAGGTGGAGGCACTCAGAGTTTCGTAGCTCGTCATCCTTCATGGAGATGTGAGTGGGAAGATGGCAGTGGTATTTGGAGATACCCCCTTGCGTACTCCCACTGGAGTGGCTACACTGAGGCCTGGGGAAACTCTGGGGACTCCCAGAAATACAGGGTGAGAAATTCACTCATTGCTGGCAGCCCACTTGCCTGCCATTATTACTCCAAGCCTCCTGGCTTTACAAACGTGTAGATAGATTTGTAGCCTTGTAAATCCCAAGGCGTAATCAATGTGAGCTGTACTGACAGCTCCCACATTTCATGTGGAAAGGTGTAAACAAATCACTCCATCTGGGTACAGAAAGGACAGGTGGCAGTTATGATGATAGTATTGTGGAAATACAGTATTTTCTCAGCTGTCCAACAACATGAAAGACCAGGGCAGATGAGGCCAAGCAAATCCAGCCAATCAAAACGACACGCCGCTTTGAAAGGCTGGGAAGAAGCTGTGCTTAAGAAACTGCTGTTGGCCGAAACCGGTTTGGCTCAGTGGTAGAGCATTGGTCTGCAGACTTAAAGGTCCCAGGTTCATTTCCAGTCAAGGGCATGTACCTTGGTTGTGGGCACATCCCTGGTAGGGGGTGTGCAAGAGGCAGCTGGTCGATGTTTCTCTCTCATCAACATTTCTAACTCTTGATATTTTTGTCCCTTCCTCTCTGTAAAAAATCAATAAAATATATTTTTTTAAAAACAAAAATTGCTGTTGACTCAATGGACAGAAAGTTGTAAGAACAGATTGGATCATTCCTTGTTTTAGTTTTCTTTCTATTTTTAACCCTTCCTTCCCTCAGGGAGTTTTCTTTGAATCAGAATGAGAGTTAGAATATTCCAAACCTGTGAAGCTGAGGTGTTTTTTTTTTGTTTGTTTTTTTTGTTTTTTTTGCAAATGGCCACAGAACTTGGTTGAAGTTGTCTGTCCCTTTGCACATGGCTGTGCCTGTCCAGTGTGACACTTTTTGTTTTTCTCAGATAAGCACTTTGGGTCATAAAAACACATACTGGGTGAGCTCCTTTAATCTTTGGATCGAAAATGTGTCCTCAGCCAATCTCCCACAGCCAAAGAGGCCGAGAGAACTTAGAGCCTGTGAATCTCCTATGGTTTTGCAGTGGGAAAGGATTAACATTTAGTCATGTGAGGAGGAAACAAATGGGGAATTTAGGGAAAATACTGCATGGGTGCAGGAGAAAGGAATTGGGCGTGGAAATTAAAGTGGTTTTTATGCAGCGTGGAAATGCCATAATCTGCTGGCTGGCAGGGCTTCCAGCCTGAGGAGCAGTTGTTGACAATGCAGCCTTCCTTCCTGCCGGGGTCCTCAGTCAGCTCCTTCGTCATCTGTGGGGATCCCTGATGCAGGAGTCGGAGGTGGTTGGAAAATTACCTCCCCCGTCCTGGTTTCACAGAGTCCTTTTAGGTCCTTTCTCAGGAAGATGTCTATCATTCAGTTTTAATTTTGTAACTGATGACCAAATGAAAGCCAATTTTAAGAACGATTTGTTTTGCTGGATAAAATATTGATTTAAAAGCACAGTAACCTAAATTAACTCATATTTAGAACATAAAATCTAAGGCTATTCAGTTAATAGAATTGGCCGATAAATACAATTGCGAGGTTGCTAAATAGATCATAAATTGTTAATGAAATATAAACATTGGTTGTTTCACCATATGAACTTAATAGTTTACATAGATGAGATAGTCTCCTAGTTACTACTGAAGAAACTAGGTTGTGCTTTTGTGCATTTAAGTCTAGGCCACAGGAAGTAGAAACAGGCTTTTTTTTTTTTTTTTTTTTTAATAATATAACATGCACATCTGTATACTTTACACATGATTTTAAATAAAAACAAGGGAAAGTTTGGTATACATACACATTTGGAGTCTGTGTATTAATAGTTTCAACATTAACTCTGCAGTAACATACTAGAAATATTTAGTATGTAGCTACTTAGCTATCATTAGATTATTTTTATCAACATAAATTGATAAATCCGAATGCTATGATCAAACAGCATGAATAAGTTTCTCTTAATCTGTTGTTATAGATTTTTGCATTAGCCCTGGCTGGGTGGCTTGATTAGTTGGAGCATTGTCTTGTACACCAAAAAGATTGCAGGTTCGATTCCTAGTTAGGACACATACCTAGGTTTTGGGGATCAGATTACGTGGGCTAGGCAACTGATCCATGTTTCTCTCTCACTTCAGTGTTTTTCTCTCTCCCACTTCCAGTCTTTCCAAAATCAATAAATATATCCTCTGGTGAGGATATGTGCTTTTTTTTCCCTCACATCAGTGTTCTTATTCTTAGTCCAAGGAAAATAGGGATTAAAAGAATAGATACTTTCTTCATATACAATATAGATTTTATTTGTTTTAGCTATTTAATTATTCTTATCTAAAGCACTGTTTAGACTCATATGTGAAATTTTGCTACTCTCTTCAGGCTCCTAACAGTATTGGCTTTGGGAAAGAGAGTGAAAGATCCATGATAATGACCAAATCAATACGAGATGACATTCCTTCAACCCAGGAGAATCTAATCAGGTGGGCTTTGGACAATGGGTACAGCCCATTGACGTCATACACAGTGGCTCCTGTGGCTAACAGATTTCACCTTCGGCTTGAAAACATTGGTAAGTGTGGTTTTTTTGTTTGTTTGTTTTTAAACTGTATTAAAAATATCTCTCAAATGAAGCTTTCCAATGGGGAACTCTCATTTCAGCTTACATGGTCCTGCTCTTCCATTGCAAGTTTTAATAATTTTTTAAATACTTTTTACTATAAAGCTTATTAAAGTTATGTAGTATTGTAGATTATTTTGAGGAAAGTATCTTGAATGCAGATTTGTTTTTTGGTAGCATAGTGTTGATTGAGTGTTGGAAAACTTTGCTGTGTAGATCACCTTCGCTGTGATTCCATTAGGGATACATTAGCCTGGCTTTCTCCCTCAGAGTCACTTGCAGCTGAGATGTTTTGGGGTTGAAACTGCAGGGAAGAAGGGTTGGGTCAAGCTGTATCTTACATAAAAACAGTCATGAGGACTCATACGTGTGCTTTCTCATTCTCACCCGGAGGGAATGGAGGAACTATCTATCACCCCAAATGGATAGAGCAGAAGGCAGACGCTTAACAAGTTCTTGAGGTTTTCCTTATAGCCAGAGGGACTCAAATACCAAGTTTTCTGACCCCCAGACCTGTTCCTCACCCAAAGTACTGAGTGCAGTGCCAATAAAATGAAGGATAGGAATGTAGGTTCAACTCCCAGCTCTGCCATTTATTTACAGTTTGAGGGGGGAAGTTGCTTAACTTTGAGCCTCAGGTTGTTCCTCCTCAGTAATAGAGGGGGACAATAGGACCTCCCTCACAGGGTCCTTGTGAAGGTTTTTGTCAAAGTAAAAATTATAAAGCCCTCCAAAGCTCTGATGCATTTTGCACCCACACAGCTGTGCTATCTTTTTCAAAAAGATAGTATCGGGGGAAAGGAATGTCCCTGATCATCTCCACTTCCAACTCTCAACAAGGTGGATTGACCTCAAGCATGTATCTATTGGCTTTGGTTGCAGATAATACTGGGGAGAGGTGTTTTTTTCTTCCTCTGCATTGTTGACAATATGAAAAAACACCAAGGATCAATTCAATTGGGAATATGTCCATCCCTTTGAAAGAATAAGTAGCAAGGCCACATTTTTAGAAAAAAAATAACAGCAAAACAAAACTAAACCAAACAGCTTTTTATTTTCTTCTTTAGGTTTAGGTTCTAAAGGCAATGGTGCCCAGATACCTATTACAGCTTAGCAATCAAAAAAGGAGTCTAAAAAATCTTCAGAGAAGCTCTTCTAACCAATCTCTAGACTCAAGGGAAGTTTTTAATGGCATGCAAATAGGCTAATATTGTCCCACATAACTTACTCAAATTATAGATTTTTATAGCTTGTGGGGCTTTAGAAATCATCTGACCCCATGGCTCTCAACTTGGGCTATACATTGGAATAGTGTGGGGAGCTTTACCGGGTAGGTACCACTTCAGAGGGTCTGATTTTTCATTGATCTTGGGTGCAGCCTGGGCAAAGGGATTTTTTTTTTAACATTTCCAAAGTGGTTTTAATGTGCAACCCATTTTAGAACCACTTGATCTCATTAATCATTAAACCTCTTAATTTTAAAACGTGGGGAACTGAGGCACAGAGAAATAAGCCACTGGCCCAAAGCCATTCAGTGAGTTAGAAAGCACCCCAGGACTAAAATTCAGGCTTCCAGACTACTCATACATTATTTGCTGAGTGTAATTTTTTTTTTCTTTTTAAATATATTTTATTGATTTTGTACAGAGAGGAAGGGAGAGAGATAGAAACATCTATGAGAGAGAGTCAACGATCAGCTGCTTCTTGCACACCCCCTACTGGGGATATGCCCGCAACCAAGGTACATGCCCTTGATGGGAATCAAACCCGGGACCCTTCAGTCCCCAAGCCGATGCTCTATCCATTGAGCCAAACTGGCTTTGGCATGCTGAGTGTAATTTTACAACACAACCATTCCATGCTCATTCTTCCTGTTCTTGCCTCTGATGATGGTTGTGCCCTAGCGTCAAACACTGATGATGTTTTGCTGTCTTCTGTCACCACCAGAGGAGATGAGAGATGAGGAGGTCCACACCATTCCTCCTGAGTTACGGATCCTGCTGGACCCTGGGATCCTGGACAACCCACCCATCCGGGGGGAGAGAGGCCGGAACGGAGGGTTCCCCTTTCCTTTCCTGGACATTCCCAGGAAAGGCCAGAAGGAAGGGGGCGAAGATGGGCTCCCCCAACCAAAGGACCCTGTCATCCCTGGCTTACGACTGTTCCCCGGTCCCCGAGAGCCTGAGGAGGTGCAGGGCAGCATGGATGTGGCCCTGTCCGTCAAATGCGACCATGAGAAGATGACCGTGACTGTAGAAAAGGATTCTTTTCAGGTCAGTGCAGTTCCTTACAGGAGAGAAGAGAGGGCCACTCCCCGCCCCGTCTCGCCCCAGTACACATTAGTGCTTCCTCTCCAGCTCTTTCGCTTTGGGACTCCAGAGGCTCCATACGTTTTCTCAGTTGGATGGGGTCACTTCCCCTGGGCTGCGATTCTCACCCGGTCCCTGTTGTGTTCTCAGCAAGGGGGGGTTCCAGATCCTTGTGTGTCAATATTTTGCTATTGGGTTTCCAAGGCCAACAAACACAATCCTGTTTGAGAGGCGGTAGGTAGGGGGCGGGGGACGCAGGCCTCTAGCAACCTGGATGGGGAAGACCAGGCAAACCGTTAACTGTGTGCTGTGGAGCTGCCCGGGGGCCCCCTTTATGTTTGGGTGGTTGTTGTTTCAGTCCAACAGCTACTCGGGGATGGAGCTCACCCTGTTGGATCCCAACTGCAAGGCCAAGACGAACGGTACCCACTTCATTTTGGAGTCACCCCTGAACGGCTGCGGGACTCGGCACCGGCGGTCCGCCCCGGATGGAGTGGTTTACTTCAACTCCGTGAGTGTCCTCCTGAGCAAAGCCTGGCCCTGGGCCGGAGCCTTGCAGGGTGTTACCGTAAAGCTAGTCTTAACATTTCTGTGAAAGTGAGGAGGGGCGTATACCCCAGGCCCGAACCAAGACAAGGGTCAGTTCTCAACAGAATGACATGTACTTCGACCGTGGACATGGTTGTGTCATTTGCCTTATTGGTGAATCTGGGGGAATTGGGAGGCCCTGTTTCTTGTTTGGAGCATCTGTGGTCATCCCTTCCATGTCCTGGTGAAAAGGGGTTTGCTGGCAAGATAATTATGACCTGTCTCTCTGGCTGAGCTGCAGGATCAGAGGCCTGGCCCTTAAGATAAAAGCCAAGCCCTTGGGCTATGAGTGAGCACATCTACACACTGAGCCAACCAGACCCCGTCCTCTCTGGTCTCATTTGAGTCCTGCCCAGAGCTCTCCCTCCCCCATGAACAAAAGAGCCAAAAGAGAGAAATCCAGAAAGGGCTACTAAGAAATTGTTATTTAGTGTCTCTACTTCTGAGAAAGACATAGATGGAAGATAATCTCCCATTTTTGAAGTTTCCTGGAGGGAGATTTTCCAGATTCCCCCAGTGATAAGCCATCGCAAGCCTTTCTGAAATCTCTCTCGCCAGTGCATCCAAAGCCTTTCAGATTAAACCTGTTTTTGCAGAGATGACCATAAGCAGGAAATATTAAAAGACTTTGACACATGACGTCTCAAAAGAAGTTTACTGTGGATGGTAAAATAAGGCTCAAGCTCCCTATATCCAGCTTTGACATGGAGTGTGTGTTCTTAGTGCCTGTTCCAGCTTTGGCCTGGAACAGGGAGGGCAATGCTGCTCATTCCTCTTCATTCCACTGCTGATGGATAGACACGCTGACCCATCTAGAGAATAGACTAGCGATCAGATACTCCAGTCGCTGTGGTTCGTGTGGGCACTGACTCTCCCTGTGAGCCCAATTTTATCATGCCTCAGACAATCTTAGAACGTCTGAGCTGGACAGAGCCCTACGATGACATCATTCAACTTCCTCATTTCACAGGTGGGAAATTGAACTCCAGGGAGTTAAGAGACTTGCTTAGATTTGAGAACCTAGTGAACAACAGAGCCAGGGCTGAATCTGGCTTCCTGACCTCTCGTGCACTCATCTTTCCTCATCACCAGGCTAGCCCCGCTGATCTTCCTTTGTTGTTGGAATAATTTATGAACCTTTGACTTCTGTGATGAACACCCTCCTGCCAATTCCAACACTAATTTTTATTGCATTTGTCTGTTTTTTCTCCAGATATAATGAATGTCACATTACTGATATACTGTACTTAATTTTGGAATTGAAAACTTGTGTCTAAATTAACACCAATAAGAGGCTATGATAATCTGTCTATTAAATAAAAACTTAAAAAAGGGTCTTTTGCCTCAGAAAAGAAAGGTGTATCATGAGCCCTTTAAAACCCTTCATTTTTATATGTATACAGTGTGGTGGTGATTATGATGATGAGATGATGGTACTAGAGAAAGCAGTATCCTAGGTGCTTGCTTTAATTGCATCAATATTTTCCTTTTGAGGACCTGGTAAAGAATAGAGAGGTGATTTTCCTATATTCTCTTCCTGCTCCATTGCCTTCAGTGAACATTCTAGCTATTTGTTCCAATTATAATTGTAGTAATTGTCAGACTTACTGTATATTTTTGTTTTGCAACATATTCATAATCTAAGCATGTAAAGCAAAAAATAAATAAAACAAAAGGACAGCATGACTGTCCTACATATGCAGAGAACTTATTTATATGAAGTCATGGTCCTTAGGTGAATTTTTTCATCTTATCCACAGCTAACCTAGGAATAATCATTTCAATCAGTGCCATGGAATAAAACATAATGTTCTTTTGTTCATCTCTACACCATAGAGAAATATATTAGGAAGAAAGTGGGGGGAGGACTACCAGAGAAAAAATGAGGAGAGAATGGCTCAATAGTAAACATTAAGCCATTGGCTTCTAACTCACGCCAAACTTTTTACTAACCTGATTGATACAAATAACAAAAGCTCCCTGTGTTAGCCAGCTCTTACTATTTCTTAGAATTTTTAATATGAAGAGAAGCCTCCTAGGAGAAGCTCCCCTACCCTACTAGACAGGCAGGCCTATTGACAACCCCATCCCACCCTAGTTCAACGTCTAGTGTTTTCTCACTGTTTGAAATTACTTGTATTTTTTCACAAAGGAAGATACATATTTTGAACATGAATTGGGTTTCTCTTTATTTTTCATCTCTTAAAAGAAGAAATCCTAAGCACACTTGGAGGTGTGTGTGTATGTGTGTGTGTGTGGTTTTCATGCATGCACGTGAAAACCACATGTAGGTGATTTGGTGTTTTTAATGACATTCTCTGTGCTGTCTTTGCCTTTTAGATTGTGATACAGGTTCCATCTCCTGGGGGTAGTAGTGGTTGGCCAGATGGTTTTGAAGATTTGGAGTCTGGTGATAATGGACCTCAAGGAGATATGGAAGAAGGAGACATTTCCCCCTTTAGCAGACCTGAAGTTGTGGTGGTAAGTGTGTGTTTGTAATAGGTAGTATGTGGAAGATGTGTGTTTAGGAACTCTTGAGGGGTGAGGAATTAGATGCTAAAGTCCAAAGCTCATAAATAAAGCTGCAGGGCCTTTATCCTTCCTTTGACTGATTTTCCTCCGTCTTGTTTTCCCCCCAGTTTAACTGCAGCCTGCGGCAGGTGGGGAATCCCAGGAGTTTCCAGGACCCGCCCAACAGAAACATCACCTTCAACATGGAGCTGTACAACACCGACCTCTTCCTGGTCCCTTCCCAGGGCGTCTTCTCCGTGGCAGAGAACGGGCACATTTATGTCGAGGTGAGTCTGCAACCTTAGCCTTGGCCTTCGAGTTAGCGCTCAGCTGTCGTAGCTCCTGGGGCGTGAGCTATAATACATCGCCCTGCTCGTCCTCGCAGCCCTTGGCTAGCTCTGGCTGGAAATCCTTCCAGCTTGATTTCTGACCAAAGCAGAACATTTCAGGAGTTGCTACATTATCCTAAATGGAGAGTGTTCTATAGATGGATATTAAAAAAAAAAAAAAAAAAAAAAAGTCAGTGTGAATTCTGATAAAGCCTCTTCTTGCTTAGCATTTTTGGAACAGTAGCTCAGTAGGTGAAGTGTCAGAGGTAACCATGAAATGTTTCAAACCGCCTCACATACTATCTTTTAAACTGCACACAAGTTAGTGAAATGCTGTGTGCTACTATATCTCGTGAAAATTGTCTTTTTTTTTTTTACCCCCCCTAGATCATTGTTTAAATGTATCTATAAATTTATTAAAACTATTTTCTAGCCGAAACCAGTTTGGCTCAGTGGATAGAGCATCAGCCTGTGGACTGAAGGGTCCCAGGTTCGATTCCGGTCAGGGGCATGTACCTTGGTTGTGGGCACATTCCCAGTAGGGGGTGTGTGGGAGGCAGCTGACAGATGTTTCTCATCAATGTTTCTGACTCTCTATCCCTCTCCCTTCCTCTCAATAGAAAATCAATAAAATATATTTTTAAAAACCTATTTTCTATATACAGTGGTAATGACCATGCATAGCATAAGTCTGTGGAATGGCTACAAAAATATTAGGTACTGGTAGTAATAAAGAAATAACAGCAGCTAACATTTACCAAGGACTTATTTTGTGCCAAACTCAGTCATAAATATTGTAATAATCTATTCTTCAAAGCAGTCCTCTGAGACAGAACTATTAATATCCCCATTTTGTGGATGAGGAAATCGAGGTAAAACTTACTTAAGGTCACACAGGTAGTACCTATTAGAGTTCAGAGCCCACATTATCTACTATCATGTATTCTCAAGTGCCATTTGAGAAGGGAGAAGATGTAACGTATTCACAGTGCAAATATCCAGGTTTTCAGATTGGATTCTACAGAAGATAACTTTCCTTATGTCCCTAGGATGGCCTCTGGTCTTACAGAGGAGTCACCTTCTAATGAGCTAGTTCCACTGCTAAACTCCAAACTAGTGCTCTGCTTCATGGTGCGGAGAGTGAGAAGCTCAACAGCCAAAAGGGATACTTCTATATATTACAGTACCTGCAGTGCACATACTTTCTATTTTAGAAAGACAAATAACTTTCGTATTTGTACTGATTCTGGGATGGAGCCTGCTGACTCTAGACATTTTCCTGGATCTCTTCTCTTTTTTAATTCCCTGTTTGAAGAGGTATTCTCTTTCTTTGGGTACACCTTCTCTCTCCACTGGGGAAAATACACTGCTTTCTCCATGCTGTTCCTAATCATAGATCTCTTCTAATCCAAGATCGCTCGCTGTTCTCCTCTTGCTTTTCTGGCTGCACTGTTCATATGCACAGTTGATCCGTGACTCCCCGTTGTGCTATAGATTTTAGAGGCTCTGCTTAACTGCAGTTTGTTTTCCAAATGTGTGCCTGGCTTTGCTAATTTATGGCTCAGCTGCTTTATGCTAATCTGCGGCCAATCTTCCTGTGAATCCAACTCTGGGTGTTTTGGTTTTTCTCCCTTCCCCTCCAGTGTGGGTCTACTTAAAATATAGGTTTGTTTGCTTTTTATTCATATTTTCCCAGTCATATCTTGTCATATATTATCTTTGTTTTTTACAATTAAATTCTGTCAAAGACATTGGCAAATGATGAAAAAGAAATGAGCCAAATCTTTTTGCTACCATTTTAAATATCAAGTACATTGAGGAGAATTGGGGCAGGGGGAAAATGTTATAAGCTGTTTTATTTTAAAGTTGTTTTAGACCACCTAAATCTGTAAATATTTTGCTAAATAGAGTAGCAGTTATGTATATTCTTTATTTCTCAGTTTGGATTTCACTGCTAATAAGAAAATAATTTTTTTTTCCCCTCTAGAATTTTTTTCTTAAGGTAAATAAAACTTACTAAATCGTTGTCTTGCCTAAAAGAACTATTTCCAAGTTTTTGTTTTTTTTTTCCTGGCCATCCTTATCATATCCCCTCCCAGAATCTTCTATTTCCCTAAATCATCAGTTTTTCCATCTGGGTTTTGGTTATCTTGAGTGATATTTGGTCACATAATGGCAACTTTTCTTTTGGTTCATTTGTATTGGAGAATTTAAAAAACTGAAAATAACCCCCCAAATTTTTTTAATATATTTTATTGATTTTTTACAGAGAGGAAGAGAGAGAGATAGAGTTACAAACATCGATGAGAGAGACCTCAATCAGCTGCCCTCTGTACACCCCCCACCGATGGCACAAGCCCTTGATTAGAATCAAACCCAGGACCCCTCAGTCCACAGGCCAACACTCTATCCATTAAGCCAAATCGGTTTCGGCACCCCCCAAATATTAATATTGAGTAATACCACTAATAATAGCTGATGTTCATGGAGTAGCTGGCACCTGTGTTGTTTGCATGTCATTTTGATCTTACTCATCCTCACAATGACCGCATCCAGTAGGTAGTCCCCCTCATACTGCAGGAAGGAAACTGAGGCTCAGAGCTCACATTCATGAGCAGCAGGGCACACGATTTCCTGGGATTTGTCTCACTCCAAAGCCCACAGCCCTCCAATACTCATTTCCAGTCCATTTTAGAGTAAAAGACTTATTAATAACCCTTTTCCTCCAAAACGACTTTTTGGGATACCTTAGACATTCTGCCATTTCATATTTCTTTGAGATGAGAGAAAAGATTTACATTTCTTCTGTCACACAGTTTTGCACTGTGGGTCCTGACTTCATGTTAAAGGAGACTTCTTTAGTTTAAATGGGGTATGTGTAAGTTGCTGTCTTTTCAAGATAAAATATTTTTCAGGAATATTGCAAAAATAACAACATGACTATTTACAGACCATCAAACACTACTTGCTAGAAATATGTCCTACAAAGTGTTCTTCCAAGGCCACTTCTCGGATCTGGTTGAGTTGACGCTGTAGCTACAGTGGAATAGTAAAGAGAAAATGGACTTGTGACCAGAATATTTGGGCTGAAATGCTGGTTATTCCCAGTATTTGCTAGATACGATCTCGACAAGCCATCTTTTCTATAGGCTCAGTTTTTTTCTCGGTTTATAAAGTAGAGATGAAAACGTTTATCTCATCAGAGCGTGCTGAGGGATTAAGCTTTCAGGCACAAAAGAGTGACAAAATCATAATCATCTCCATTGCTGAGTGTCTTGTAGTTCACCACGAAGGGATCTTGCAAAAGAGCACTGTGGACTGAGAGCCCCGTGCAGGGTCAGGGGCTTCCCCTGGGCTTCTCAGAATGGAAAGTGTGTTTATGTCTCCATGCCTTTGGAGACTCTTCGGGAGTTATTCGCCTATGGTGGAAGCCCAACTTTATTTCTAAAGTGTTTAAGTTTATTTTGATCCTAAGTTTAGTTGAGGAATGAAGCACAGAGGGGGGAGGAGGCAGTTTGCGCGGCCATCCATGTGACACCAAATGGAGAATCCAGCCTGGTGCAGGGATTGTAGCTGAGTTCAGGATAGTTGAGGTTTGAATTCTGTTTACACTGGGCCAAACATGACTTCCTGTTTCTAAAGAAAAGAACCTTAACAAGGGTTGGACGTAGCCCATAGAATGTTTTGTAAGAGGGAAGTGTAAATGAGTCGGAAACGTTTCCAGATTAGATTTCCCTTAAAACACCGTTGGGCTGAAAGAGTGAAGGGAGAGTACTTGGCAAGGCCTGGCTTGGACCTGTGAGCAGCTGGGACACTTTGCCAGGCCCGTGATCGGCACCAGATTGCACTGTAGCCGGCATTCAGCCAAAGTAGGGCCAGCTCTTCTGCTCCAGGGAAGCAGGACTCTAAACGAATTGGTCGTTTACTTGCCATGTGCGAGGCCCACTCTGACTTGTGCAGTTTAGAAGCCAGTACTCCCTGCGTAGATTAAATAGACTCTGCCTCTGTGTTTTTTTGAGCAATTTTTTAAAAAAAGAGCTTGCCTTACAAATGCTCTGTTATGACATCAGGAGCTTTGCCTGTTGGTGTTTTATTTATTTTGGAAAATCCACTTTGCTTTTATTTTTATCTCCCAGAGGACTTATGGGAGGTTGAAGAGACTTAGTCATTTTGTACTGGAATCTTCCAGGCTGGCGTTTGAACTAAATAATTTCACTGTCACCATCCATATCAAGTTTAAATAGAAAATATCTCTTCCTTCAAAGAGTGTATATGTTAACTCTTATTAAAAAGAAGACCACAGATGGGTGTTGTGGGAATACAGAAATGCCTCTCATCGGGGGGGACGGTGTTGGCATGCTCCCCCTGTGCCTAACGTAAGAATGAAGACGCTGACTTGTTTCTCCGTGTTGATCTTGCTGTTTTCCGTAGGTGTCTGTTACCAAGGCTGACCAGGAACTGGGATTTGCCATCCAAACGTGCTTTATCTCTCCAAATTCGAACCCTGATAGGATGTCTGATTACACCATCATTGAAAACATTTGTCCTAAAGACGATTCTGTGAAATTCTACAATCCCAAGAGAGTGCACTTTCCCATCCCGCACGCCGAGATCGATAAGAAGCGGTTCAGCTTTGTGTTCAAGCCCGTCTTCAACACCACGCTGCTCTTTCTGCAGTGTGAGCTCACATTGTGTACCAAGAAGGAAAGGGACGCCCAGAAGTTACCCAAGGTGAGTGGGCCTTCGCCTACGTGAGCTGTTACTTTGACATTTTGAGGTGAGACAGCGTGACTTACCAGAGACGTCTGACCACGAGTTATTACAGGTGGCGGCTTTCCGTTTGGGAGCTGCCCGATGGAAGTAATAACGTCCATGTGGGGCAGGAACTGTGCATTTTCTGGAATCTTAGAGAATAAATCCCCCACAGTATGATTTCTTTTTCCATGCATGTTAAGTAATAGTATCTTACGGATGATAAATCAAGACTTGTTTTCCACTGAGGGAGAGGTCTGGCTTTATCTTTGCCATTCAGATAGTGTGCGGTCCAAGAGTGCCGAGAGCCGAAAGGACAAGTTCAGAGTGAGGATTAATTTTTCCAGGTCCCACCGAGACTTGTATTGCGATTGTTTTTTGACCTCCTCTGTGTGAATTATAAGGTTGACTTGTCTCAGGCGGACTTCTAAGAGAAACTAACAAATACTTAAATTTTCCTTGGTCCTATCCTGTTCATCATGTTTACTTCGTACCACTCCCCATATGGAACCAGTGCATTTTGTACAGAAATCAGAACCCTTTGACCTTGCTGGAATGGCTATTGTAGGGGTCGGCAACTTAATTACCTCATGACCTTGTGCATGGAGGGTGTGATCTGCCATAATTACGTATAATTTTGTGTGTGCATTTATTCTGTGCATATTTTACACAGTGTAAGCTTAATTCTCATCCTTTTATGGTCGCATATAAATCCATGTCTAAAAGTCTAATAGTTGAGCTGTATCACCAATCATGTATTGTCAGTATGGAATTTTCTCACTTACTGCATAGGTTGTAAGAGATAGATTTAGAGGTAAGAGGAGAAATTATCAGTATCATTGATTTGAATCCTTTGCACTATTATATTCCCTGGGGCATCCATTTAGTATCAAATAATATTTTGTAGTGCATATGAAAATACAGCCAATCTGATCATAATCATTAGGGAGTCCCTACATAAGAGGTGATTTAGGTTGCTTTGGGAAACATTGATGCCTTAGCATTCACCTTCCAGTGGCCATCACGGTTGGGACGTGGTGGGCAGTGGTAGAGAGCCATGGGGAACTGAGCGCTTGGCTGGGAGATCCCGCTGTTTCCTGCAGGCAGTGGATGGCTTTTAGGAGTGAGGGTCAGGCAGGAGAGGCCTGGCAGTTATTGGGTGTTCACTGATGGCTTTGGCTGTTGCCTTGCACTGAGCCCGGCCTGTAGAAGCACAGCTTCAGAGTGTGTTCATCTGTGAACATTAGTCCCAATATGTTCTTCCCAACATTCTAAGGAGAGCTGTAAGTCCCAGTGGATGACATGGGATGTTACCCTAAACCCGAAGTCGCTATTTATACCTGAGGTAAGACACAGTGGAAAGAGCAGGGGGACTGACAAGTAAGACCTGCTATTTATTAACAGGACTTTAAGCAAATCCCATGAATCCTCAGAACCAGCCTTTCCTCATCCATACAATTGAAATAATAGTACCTCGCTTCCCTCAGGTAGAGGAGCAAATGAGATAGTTCCCCATTTATAGAGCAGTGGCTTAGGATGGCTGTCACCACTGTCTCCCTGTTCACTGCTTACAGTTAATATTATGTTTCTAGTGACTACTGAGTGTTTTCTGTGATGAGAGACAGAGCCAAAGGGTCTTCCAGGAGGCAGTCTCAAAGATTGTTGAGTCCACCCCCACCCCTGCCCTTGGCCGAAGCCAGAGAGTACAGTGTGTTGCCCAGAGTCACGCAGTGAGATAGTAATAGAATCTTAGGCTCTTACGTGACTGAAGAACTGGTAGGGAAGTAAGAAAATTTTCCCTAAAATGCAAATCTTTTCAACAATGATGCCCCTTCACAGAAAATCCACTCTTTCCCTTGACAAGAGGGCCATTGTAAAGGCTTTTCTCTGTTTTGGGATGGAGGTCTGCTTATAGTATGTGTCTGACTCGCATGCTTCTCAAAGCAGCAAGGACAGTAAAGCCAAAAGTCTTTGTTTTTTTGTGCTGGGAAGAGCTTGGAGTTAATTCACTTTCAGGAGTGCCTGCTATAGACTTTTTTTTAAAGCTGAAGTCAGTTCTAGATGAACTTCAGCAGGATTCTGGTGTTGTTGTTTTTTGTGTTTTGTTTGTTTGTTTGTTTGTTTTTAAATATATTTTTTATTGATTTTTTACAGAGAGGAAGGGAGAGGGATAGAGAGCTAGAAACATCAATGAGAGAGAGACATCGATCAGCTGCCTCCTGCACACCCCCCACTGGAAATGTGCCTGCAACCAATGTACATGCCCTTGCCTGGAATCGAACCTGGAACCTTTCAGTCCGCAGACCGACGCTCTCTCCACTGAGCCAAACCGATTTCGGCGCTATAGACTTTTTAAATGGTTGATATATTTCTTCTTACAGCAAAAGCAAATAGATGTCGATTTACATTAGAGTTTCACTTACTCATGAGCATAGACAAGGAACCAAAGTTATTTTAAAGAAAAAGTAATGGAATGTGGTCATACGCTTTAAAAACAGGTCCTTTGGGATTGGCCATGCTAGCTCTAAGTTTGAGGCCTTGAAATAGCTAGCAGCAGCTGATCTCCTAGCACCCACACCTGGCCACAGCTTCCCTGAACTCTGGGAACAGTAAAAACTGATAACTAGAAAGCTTCATTTTGCATATGCCTTTATCAGGATTTTTAAAAAAAATCAAACAAATTCGACAATATGATTATCTTTTTGGACAGCAGATGTAAAATCTGTCACCTTCATAATGCAATACATGAAGTTTCCCACAATCACAGATCGTAAACATGAACCATTTATGTGAGGCCGGCTTGGTCTAGGGCCAACATTTGTTGGATAGTTTATTTTTCACACTAAATAATGCTAAAACCTCCAGTTGTTTTGTGGGAAGATAGGGGCGGGGGGCAGGGGAGAATGACAATATTTATAAGCTGTTCAGTAATATTTGCATCTTTAAGTGCAGCTGAGCATACATGGGGCCCGCCACTATACTTCCCAGATGATTTGCAGTTCTTTGGGAAACACCCAGATGTCTTGTTTTTCTGTGGTAACCAGCTGTTCACGGTCTGAGAAGGGGCACGGGACAGCTGTGCAGGCTGTGCTGGTGAAGCCGATAGAGTGACCCCTGACTCTCTCTGCTCTGCCTCTCTGCAGTGCGTGCCTCCCGATGAAGCCTGCACCTCCCTGGATGCCTCGATGATCTGGGCCATGATGCAGAATAAGAAGACGTTCACCAAGCCTCTCGCCGTGATCCATCAGGAAGTGGAATCTAGAGGTGTGTGTTTTTGGAGGCCCAGTCAGAGAACGGGGGTCTCGGGGCTGCTCGCTAGGAGGTCCCAATACTGTAAGGCCAGTTTCATTCAAGAGATACCATGTTTCCCCGAAAATAAGACATCCTCTGAAAATAAGACCTAGCACATGGAAAGATAAGACATCCCCTGAAAATAAGACCTAGCGCAACTTTGGGAGAAAAAATTAATATAAGACACTGTCTTATTTTCGGGGAAACAGGGTATATAGTAAATGGCCAACTAGTAATTTTAGAAAAGGATCCTTTGCTTGAGTTTTTTTTATTTTTTTTTATTTAGGTCATTGTCCTACTGGCATGTGGCTCAGTGGTCAGGGATACATTTGCAAGTGATTTCCTCTTTATTATTAGATCAGAGTCAAGGTTATCCCAGTCACAGTGTCACACTCTCTCTCACATTCAGATATGCTTCCTCGACTGTGTAGGTTAGAGTTCCTCCTGGCATGGACAGATGGACTCTCTGTGATCTCCTAGGAATGGTTGTGCTGGCCACAAGCTACTGTGGTGTTTTGTCAGGATCGCAGATGCCTTTGGGGAGGGTGTCATGTGTGTGAGTACCATCCATCTTAGCCGGCACAGCAGAAGGAAGGGTGAGAACTCGTGTTCAAAAGTGTTTTTATAATTTTCAGAATTTTATGTGGTCACATCTGTTGCTTGAAGCCAAGGATGACTCTTTCTGCACATGCAGGAACAGTCAGCAAGATGCATCTTCTAGGAGAAAAGGAAGGATGTACTCTAAGACGGGTGGAACTAATATTCGGGAGCACGGCAGGGCAAAGCAGATCTGGCACAGGCCAGGCCAGCCAAGCCAGCAGAGGAGCAGAGCTGGGCTCGGAGGGCTGTTAGGGTGTCTGCGAGGCCCCGTGGACTGATCTGACAGAGAGTGGCATAGCTCCAGCCAAGGGCATGGAAAAGCAAGAACCCACCAGGCAGCTGTCAACGACCAAATGTCAATGGGCCGTTCCAGTTATCAAAGACACATTGTCTAAAGGTGCCGATCTAAGGGAAGGCTGGGAGAGTGAAAGTGGATTTCAAGCCTCGGGGGTAAATATTTCAGAGCGAGAGCCCCAGGCTGCCTCCTAACACCCGAGGGGCAGAGAGGAGCCTGTCACCGGCACTGGGGGGCCGTGACAAAAGCCAGGGAGCAGCCTGACTCCAGTGGCTGGGCATCCGCTGCGAGACCTGCTGGATGGTGTTGACACCAGATCTGGGCTTCGGCCGCTCTGGGATGGCATTTCTGATCCGAGCGTTGTTGGATTTGGCAAGAGCAGACAGCAGGGGCGGCCCTGGAGCAAACAGGACCTAACGGAGCAGAGGCATGTGGATGCCATCCAGCTGAGGGACCTCTGTGAAAACAGCAGTGTCGTTCCTATTGTCATATCTGGTGGTGACATCTGCGCCCTTCCCAGGAGCATGCTCCACTCAGAAAGGCAGGAGAGGGTGGGGGGAGGCACTGGTGTGGAGCCAGGAGCCTGGGGGTAGCGCTTAGCGTTCTCCGTTCTCCGATGACTGGCTGAGGGACTTTGGAGGTCTCCCCTCAGGGCCTCGGATTTCATTTTCTTTATCTGGAAAAGGAGGGGTTTGGACCAGATGACTCCCAGAGGCCTTTCTGAGTGTGAGTTGTGACCCTCAGCTATCCTGTTTGAAGAAGCAACACAATATTTTCTTCATTTCCCATCTATCCAAAAGTTGGTGTGAAATATAGCTGCTTAGTGGTTCCTCAGCTGTGTTTTCATTGTAGATATTGTTTGTTTTGCTTTTTGTTTTTAAGTTGGTTTTTAACCATTTGAAACAGTCACAGCAGCCATAGTCTTTCAATAAATGGATTGCCCAATTAGTTTCTTGTTTATTGGGTCCAGGGAAAAAGAAATTAATTGTTGTTGTAAAGTGTTTCACAATTGGGCAGCAGCTGGCTCTGTTTTGGACTGTGCAAGTGGTTTAACAATAGCGGCAGCCACCTCGTACTCCCTGTTACTCTTACCTACTTTGGGAGCGGCAATTTTGCTGGTAATTGAAGGCAGCAGCTTGCTTTTTCCTACGCCAGACAATAATTAGGCACTAATATTGCAGCAGTATAACTTCCAGTAATTCATTCATTCTTCTTTTAAGTCTGGTAGTATTTTTCTAAATAATTCCTCTTGTAAATTAGGCAATTGCTTTTATTTAAACTTAGTGTAATTATTCTGAAGGGTCAGTGTTTTCTTTACATGAAGTTCAAGGGGAAAGCTTTACCAAATATCAAAGCACTTTCGGGAGATTTGCTAATTGAAACTAGGTTTTGGTGGAGAAGTGTGTAGTGACGAAAGTTCACTGCTTAGATTTGTTAAACAAACTGAGGAGGTTAGACTGTAGGCCACTTCCCAGGGGCTGGATGCATTGACGCTTTCTAACTTTGCACTGAATGGGGTCGGTTTTCTGACAGTTTTCAGCACTATGAGTGACTCCTCTTACCTTTTGTGTTTCTTTTCCTTTGACTCTAAAGGATTTCTCCGCAAAGCAGGCATTTGAGTCTGTTTTTCCCCAGCCCCTCAGTGCATTGGAACGGTCAGCTGAAAAGGGGATGTGACATTTGCCAAATAATAGCATTTGCTTATTTGAATAATAGAATCATGAATTTCTTCTTCCTTCTCCAGACAGCTTTGTGCGTTACTATAGTAAGACACCGATCCTATATTCCCTCTGGAAGTGGGCAGAGCTCCTATTGGGATTGACATTTGGGATAAACATTTTCCAACCAACGGGACCTTTTACTGTCCTTTTACTGACACAGGCGCTCAAGGCCAGGCGAGTGCTGGCCCTCCTGGCCACGGGTCTGTTGTATTTCTCAACCCTTGGGTTTTCTGGGGCAGCTGATAAAGCCTCTCATTGCCAACCTCACAGCCAGGCAGAGGTCTTCTCAGGGGCTCCTGCCAATAACATGGACACATTTCAAGCAAGGTTTCTTCCTTCTGTGGGCAGGGAGTGCAGGCCATCAAGACTAAATAAATAATTCTAGGCCCCTCCTCTGGGCCACTGTTCTTAGTGGAAACTTCCCAAGCTCCTGCGGCACATCTTTGCCAGTTTTTACTTCTCAGTTGTTTGGGAACCAGTGTTGGGTGAGCCTTCTTTTGCTGTTTACACTTTCAGCAATAGATGATGGTGACGGAGATGATGATTGTCTAACATTCATTGAGCATTTACTTAATAAAAAGTTCTGTGCTTCATAGAGTCTATATTTAATCCCCTTATCCCCTTTGTGAGGCAGGTATAGAGGGAGGCTCAGTAACTTGGCCAGGGTCACATCACATATTAATGGTGGATCTGGGATTCGACTCCAGGCACCTCAATTCCAGAGCCTGTGCTCTTAAACCCTATGCCTTATCCTAGGGCAGTGGTCAGCAAGCTCATTAGTCAACAGAGCCAAATATCAACAGTACAAGGATTGAAATTTCTTTTTGAGAGCCAAATTTTTTAAACTTAAACTTCTTCTAATGCCATTTCTACAAAATAGACTCGCCCAGGCCATGGTATTTTGTGGAAGAGCCACACTCAAGGGGCCAAAGAGCCGCATGTGGCTCGTGAGCCACAGTTTGCTGACCACGGTCTTAAGTGGAAGTTGATTCCAGTTTTTAATAAAAACTACAAGTAAATAGTTAACACTCTATGAACTGAGAAGAAGATGAAGATTTTTAGGGAAAAAAAAAAAAATCTGTTCCCCCAGAGGGTTAAGATATTGGGAAACATGTAAACTATTTAAGAGAGTATTCAAGTTTAGGAGTCATTCTGTGACTATATTATAACTCACTTAGAGAACATGAATAGTTTATGCATATTATGGTTTATGGCAAAACAATTAAAATAGTTGAGGTGATGCCATCCTGCCATATTTTCTGACATATTTTGAAGTATAGGCATGTGCGTGCTATTTGCTTTGGATGCTGTGACCATTTTTTATAGCATTTCCACAGTAAAATTGGTTTTACCACGTCAGTGATGTGTGGTTTATTTTATTTTTTTTTAACTGTGAAAGGGAAGAGTAATTTCTCTGAAACTTGGGGCCCTAAAATTTTGGACATACACATGAAAAATGGGCATAAAAACCCCCACAATGAATGTCATACCAAATTTGCCATGATTTACATATAATGTGTAATTCTCAGGGAGTTAAAATGAACAAATTGAATGTTGAAAATACTGAATTTTTCCCATATTTCTACCACATAACTTTTAGACAATAAAAGTGTGCTCAGGACAGCACCCGGCATATCATGGGCACTCAGTAAATGTTAATTTCCTTTCCTTCCCCGTACCCTCTCAGCCACACTGAGTTTTGGAAGGAGGTGAAGAGGATGGAAGGGAAAGTTGTGAACGTCAGTTGGAAGTTAATCCAAGAGAGCCGTTACTTTTTGGAACACATTTGATTTTTCCAGAACAAAAATACTCTAAAGCACCGGCCAGGTTTTGTCCTTAGACTGAGGTAGAAATGAGGGGAAGGTGAGAAGAAAGAAACACAGAAATACTACGCTGACACACCAAGACATTTAGTTTCTATCCTGTAAGGGAGAAGAGGTATCTTAGGCTTGTTGTTGTTATTGTTGTTGTTGTAATTCAATGTGCTTCGCATTTAAAAATTTTTTGATCTGAAAATTTTCAAATATATACAAAAATAGAATGAACTCTCATGAACCCTCCTCCATCTGGTTTCAACAATTACCAATTCGTGGCCAATCCTGTTTTATCACTTCCTGTCCCTGGATTGTTTTGAAGGAAACCCAGACATTTCATTTCGTCCATAAATATTCTAGTGTACACCTCTGAAAGTGAAGACCCATCAAAAGATCCCAGTAGAGAGCTGACAGGATCACAATAATAAGATACACATGATATTTATGGTTACTTATTCCTCCCCCCACCCACAGCCCCCCAAAAAATGTTGGTTACATACTAGATACTTGGCATATGGTAAATAGATTGCCCTGTCCTTAAGGCCTTCAGGGTGTAGTGCAGTTTCACAGCTTTAGCACCTCGGTGTTTTGGTGGGATAGCGTTCAAATGGCATTTTTGGGGGGGAAGCTGTCCTGTGCGATGGAGGAGGTTGAACAGCATTCCTGGCCTCTACCCACTAGTTGCCCACAGCACACTCCTCCACAATCAGCTGTGACTACCCAAGGTGTCTCCAGACTTAGTCAAATGACCCCTGGAGGGCAGGAAGCAAAAATCAGGCTCAGGTGAGAAGTATTGATCCTGGTAGAAGGATACAGATTAGCAATTAGGCCATTGCAGCAGATGCCCTAAATATTGAAACAACCTGGAGAAGGGGTTCATTTACGGTGAAGTAAAGTGAGTAGAAACTGAATCTTAAATGTGACTTCATAAAGGCCTCTGAGTCTCCGGCTTCTTCATCTCCCTGTCCTTCCCTCCTTGCCAGATACCAGTAGACGTAGGTACCAATTAGATAACTTGTTTTCCTTTGGGCCCGCTCATTCTGGCATGTTGAGGAGACCTGAACTGAACGTTGGAGGCCAAAAAGCTGTGGTCAGTTACTCAGGCGTAACCCCAGAAATGTCCCGTTTACGAAAACCATGCCTGCCACTCCGAGGAGGAAACTTTTGGTTCTAGAGGTTGACCAAAATTTGCTCAGAGTATATGGAAAGATTCAATTCAGAATGTTGATTATAGTTTGTTCTTTCTGTGAAGAAATCTGTACTGTTAAAATTCCTTTTACAGTAATAGCTAGGATTCCTTTCGTACAATCTGACTCTTGAACCAAAAGTAAATATTGTTGTGGCCACTCTTTTCCTTTTAGCATGCCAACGCGATTGCAGGGTTCAGCATGCCAACTCGATTGTAGAGATCAAACTCTCTTCGTTCTACTCCGGACTTATTAGGGATTTTGGAACAAAGAAGCTGGAGGGTAACACTCCTGCAACCTCAGCTCTCCAGCTGGTGCTTGTTACTGTTTATGCACAGGCATCATGGAGGAGCCTTACTCTCGGGATATAAGCAACAACTCTTTCTGCTTAGCCTTACTCTCGGGATATAAGCAACAACTCTTTCTGCTTAGCTCTGTGAGAAGGCCCTGTTTGGGGTGGGGGAAGAGGCTTGGATCATAACATAAGTCCATTAAGAAATGTAAAACAATGCCATCCATCACACAGGCCTTGCTAAACTCTTACATGGGAGGTCTCCTTGGGGGAGCATCATTATTTAAAACCTCTTGGGGATTCTAAGGGACAAAACTGAGCCATGGGCAGTTAATTAGATGGAACCGTTCCCAGAAATGTGTACATTTCTCACATGATGCACACTGTGGAGACCTTTAAATGCCTTTGGACTTAGTCCAGCAAATCAAACACCACTACTACTTGAAAGTTGGAGAATGTTGTGGTTAACTAACCCCCGTTTCATAGGGTTCTGGGGAGTTTAAAATGAAAAAAATAGGAGTGAATGCTTTTTGTCCATTGGAACACACAATAGAGATGTACAATTATCAAGTGTCATTGTCATTATTTTATTGCTGCCAATAAGGCTGATAGAACCAAACCCCCAAGAAAGAGTGTCTTGTGGGCATGTTGTTGGTGGGTGTTCTGCATCCTGAATTAGACTTTCTTAAAATCACACAATTATTTTAATTTTCTTAGTAATTTTATTGAAGTAAAACCCTTTCCAAGGCCACCACATTGCACAGCTGCAGGAAGCACCACTCAGTGGTGGTGGCCCTGACCCCTTGGGTAGTGTCCCTTCCCCTCGGCGGGACCACTTTGCCTTGTGCTGCGAGGATGTGGAGAATGTGGTCAGCCCAGCTGAGGTGTCTATTCCTGAGATTTTACAATCCTATCTAGCTTCTTTGTTTTTTGTAAACAGCTCAAACGTTGCTTGTTTTGAGTCAATTTTCGACAAGTTCTTTACACTTCACCGTGGAATCCAACACAGTGTGTATTCCTTCTTCATTGGATGAAAAGAGAGGCACTCGGCACTTTTAAATTCTAAAGAGAAGGGGCAGAGTCGGTGCCAGGACTCAGTTCCCTTTTCCTCTAAAGGACCAGGTAGTGAATCTTCCCGGGGCGTGGCTCACACAGCCCCCGCCTCAGCTGCTCAGTGCTGCCGCCTCAGGAAAGCAGCCACAGGCCAGGTGTCCACGAATGAGCATGGCTGCGTTCAGATAAGTCTTTGCTTAGGGGATACATTTGAATTTTATATAATTTCTACATGAAATATTATTCTTTTGATTTTTTTCAATCATGAAAAAAAATAAAAAATGTATTCTTAGTTCACAGGACATATAAAAGCAATATGCCACCCCCGGCCTGCTGTTCCCACTGCTGAGGAGCGTGTGTAGCTCTGCGTCAGTAGCTTCTCCATCACTGCCTCCCCAGCTGAGGGCAGAGCAGCACTCACCAGCCAGTTCGCCTCTGAGGCAGAATCTGGAGTTCTGGTTCAACTCTGCCCTGATGCTTTCTAGCTGTAACCTTGGGCTGGTCACGTGACATCAGCGTCTCAGGCTGTTCATCTGTAAAATAGTGATCATTTTCTCCCTGCCTCCCACACAAAATCATTATAGTAATGTTGAGGCATACAAACATTTTCTTTTTTAAAGAAATATATTTCTTTATTGATTTCAGAGAGGAAGGGAGAGGGATAGAAAGACAGAAACATCAATGATGAGAGAGAATCATTGATCGGCTGCCTCCTGCATGCCCACTACTGGGGATCGAGCCCACAACCCAGGCATATGCCCTTGGCTGGAATCGAACCTAACCCTAACCCTTTAGTCTGCAGGCTGACGCTCTATCCACTGAGCCAAGCCAGCTAGGGCCAAACATTTTCAAATAGTATTATTTCAAGTTTTCTCTATTGCCTCCACTTTGAAAAAGTACATCAACATTCTAATCATCCATCACCAAAAGTTTCTTGCAGGCCTGTTTTATGCCTGACTGAGTAAGAACTAGACTCTGCCCTCAGGGGGATGGGGTGGGAGTGGGGGTGGGAATATAGAATTACGATGTGAAGGGTATATGTGTAACAGAGGAGGGATGGAATGAGCAGAGGCAGAAGAGGGCAGCCCTGCTTGGGGGGGGGGGGGGTGGTGGAGGTGGTAGAGTCAGAGAGGCCTCCCACTGAAAACGCCAACAAAACAGGCCTGGGAAGGAGGGTGTTTCAGGGAGGGCATATGAAGTGTGATAGCACAGAACAGCATGAAGAATTTGGGGGGCTTATATAACTGGGAAGAGCCCACCATAGTAGAAGGACCGCATTAGGAAAGGAGGCTGGAGAAAGGTGGGGAGAGGCGGGAGGCAGAACTCTGTGTGCTACGCTGAGTCTGAATATTTTCCCTATAAATGAAGAGGAGTAATGGAGCCATTTAAACAGGGCAATTGCATAACCACCTCTGGGCTCCGGGAAATTCATTCTGGGAGTATCTGGAGTGGCCAGTGGTGGAGACAAGGAGACAAGTCAGGGAAGCTCTGTAATAGTGCAGCCTGGCCTGTGTGGCTCAGTTGTTGAGCGTCCACCTGGGAACCAAGAGGTCACTGGTTTGATTCCTGGTCACGGCACATGCCTGGTTGCAGGCTCGATCCCCAGTGACAGGTGTGCCAGAGGCAGCCGATTGATGATTCTTTCTCATCATTGATGTTTCTATCTCTCGCTCCCTCTTCCTTCCTTTTTCTCTAAAAGTCAATAAAAACATATTTTTTAAAAATAGTGCAAATGTGTGATGAAGAGGACCTCAACTACACTAGCATTAAGGCTTAAAGATTCTCTTCTAGAATTTGTGTTCATTAAATTAGGAATAATATTATAATAAACCAGAGAAACATGGTATTGAAAGGTATTGAATCCTTTCCTAGATAACATAAAGGTGTACACACACACACAAATTGTTACACTCAAATTCCTTACATGTAGGTGTTTGCCTTCAAGTTTTTTTCAAACCAGAGAGCCTGTACCATTGATGGTTGGAGTCTACTACCTAAAATTTCTGAGTAATTCATGTTATAATTCTGGTATCTAAGAGGACAGTCAACAGAACTTTCACAAAGTATTAACAAATAGAAAAGTGTCATACTCTGGATATTTTGATGACCTTTTGCTTAAAACTTGATTTCTCTGGGTGATGCATCGTGATTTATGTGTTTGTTTCAGGAACAAGTCCAAACATTAAGGAACCGAATCCAATTTCTCCACGTAAGTCTTTATGCAACTATTTCAAAATAAAGCCTCCTGGGCTTTTATAAGAATGAGTTGGTTATGGAGCATATGCCAAACTTTGAGTTTTGATAAGGAGACTTTTGCTCTTACTTTCCTTCCTCTCTTTTTTCTCATACCCCCCCCCCCCTTCCCTCTGTCCTTCATTCCCCTTTCTTTTTCCCTCTGTACCTTCACCACTTTTAAATGTGAACTTGCTGACCCATTGGTGTGTATGACCTTAATGGGAAGGTAGTCAACTTTCTAAGCTTTAGAGAGAGAGCTTTGTTATACGCACGCTCACATCAGGTGAGAACTGAAAGCATTCGCATACCGCTATGGCAGTGGTTTGCTTTGCCGTTCCATTGTCACTTGGTAAGTGAAGGGAACTAGTCGTACCTTCAAGTAGAGCTAAGGGAACTAGTTGTGCCTTTAAGACCATCTGTAGTCTGAAGGGCGTTGGGGGAGACGGCTTGTAAGGGAAGAGAAAGAGAGAGAGAGAGAGACCAACTACTACAAAACGAGGTGTTGGAAATTATCTGGGCCAGGTTCGTCACTTTATATGGAAGAAAACTGACCCAGAAACAATTAAGTAACTCGCCTGTGGTTGTCATTAACATTGAGGTTGTAATTAAAAGCCTAGAGGACTAGGTCCTGCTTCCTGGCTGTACACTCAGAGCTCTTCTAGATGGTGTTGCTTCCTTCCTTAAAACTGTCCACGTTAGTCTCCGTGGCTGGCTCTCTCACATACACACGACAGTCAGCCTGGAGAATCCCTTTAGGCAAAGCATTTTGTAAACCATTCTATTAAATGAGTGCATCGCCTTAATGTTCTCATGGAACAATATTCTTAACCCAGAGGGAGACACACATGGACACATGCTCTCATCCATACCTGGTCAGATTTTCATAAATGACATCTCCATCTCTAGAATTTTAGAATGTTTTCACTAAAAACTTTAATCTTGCCCCACTTTGTGATCTGTAGGCGTAAAAAGGCAAGTCATCTTTTAACACCGTTCTGTGACCTCGATTCAATGAAATGAGGTGGATGGCCAGGTCCGTCTTAACCTCCAGAGAGTTCTGCCCTTTTCTTACTCCTTCTAGGGGATCCCCAGGCCTTCCACAAACCCTTTTTAGGTGAAGTAGGGCTAGCCCCAATTTCTCAGAAGTTAAATGAACACCAACGGGTATTGGCTAGACAACTAGGGACCAGAACTTGGGAGTTGGGATCCTCCCAGAATCTTCTCCACCATGACATACTTTCCTGCACCTTTTCTGAGGCTGTGCAGGGGTCACGTTTGTCTATAACTGGGTCTTTTACACTGAAGTGAGTGGAAAGGCAAAGAGATTTAATTTACATAGAGGTCACCTGGGGTCACTGCTGATGGGAGAAGAACCTGGATGCAGTACTGAAATAACGGGGCGAGCCTATCGCTTAACTTGGTATTATAAAAACAGAGACCTTAGAAATCTTCATTCTGCCCAAAAGCCCTCTCCCTTGGAAACTGGTTTTAACTTTTCTTAAGTGATTCAAGGAAGGTAGTTCTCTTAAATGAAAGGAAATGTTCTATTTCTGTGGCCTGGAATTGATTTCAAATATAAAAATCTTTGCCAAACAGAGAAACAATTGGTTCTATTTATGTTTTGCTGACCATAAAACTGACATCATTCCCCACTGAGAAGTATTTCCGTTCCCGGTTGGAAAGTGTTAAAAAGGTTATTTCAAATGACACAATGTGTATTTAAGATTGAGGATTTAATATGAGGACATCAGTGAAATGTTAGAATCCACAGGAATAGTTTCCCCTCACTTTGTTTTCTCCTTCTCACTCCTTTCTTCCTGTTATCTTTCCTGCTTTTAAATGTGCCTAAAATATGTTTGTCAAGTATTTGAAGTGTGTTTTCTGAGTAGTGTCTTGTTGGAAGTGTTCAATGACCAAGAAGCAGTGAGTCAGATTTTTATAATGGAAGTTTAATTTATTTCCCAAAGCATCTTAACCTCTGAACTTTCGAGCCTCTTTACCATTCAAATAGATAATGAACCCTAGACTTTAGGTTTTACAGAGTTTACAAATCTGATCTTTTTAGTAAGTTTGTTGCTCAAAATAATTGCAAACTGAGGAATCTTGGAAGTCTGATAATTTAATTTTTCTTTAAAGAAAAAATTTGCAAGTTATAAATACAGTATAGTTTGTCTCAGATTAGTTTTATTAGTTGGTGCTCAGCCTTTCGGATGGTGCTTGTGAAACAAATATAAAATTGCAACGTCTGACGCAGATTAACATAAAGTATTTCTCTTCCTCAGCAATTTTCCACGGTCTGGACACCATAACCGTGATGGGCATTGCGTTTGCAGCATTTGTGATCGGAGCACTCCTGACGGGGGCCCTGTGGTACATCTACTCCCACACAGGTCAGTGTGACTGTGGGAAGCAGGTGGGGACATCCCGGGTGCCTGCCACGCAGTGGATTCTCAGTGTTGCATTGCATGGATGAATGGATGCAATAATGAGTGAAAGAGAGAGAAAGTTCATTCCCCCCTATTTTCACATTTGCAGATTTGGCATAAATTGGGTTTTGCAAAAATATAATCGGCTTTAAACAGTTTTAGGAAAAGGTTGTTAAACTACTTACGTTAATTGAAGTTGAGATGTTGGTGAAGTGTAGCTTTTAATAAAGCTACTTTGTGGTTTGTTTTTAATTAAAGGAAGGTAATATAGACAAACTGGAAATATAAACTATTCCCTTGATGCTAAAGACTTCAGTATAGAAATATAAATGGGCAGGAAGTGAGAAGAGAAGCCAAGATTTGGTTACCACATCTGCCTCCGTACTGAGCCCACCAGAGTCCCTCACTAATGGCTTAAACCAACAGTTCTTGACCTGTCCTCATTGATAAACATAAAATTCTCACTTCTTTCTAAAAAGTTATTCAAATTTTTAAAATATATTTTCATGAATAGTAAACAAATACAAATGGTGAAATAGAGCTCTTTGTTTTTAAGTTATGCACCTCCAGTCCCCAAAATTATTTTTTCTTCAATATGTTTTTATTGATTTTAGAGAGAGAGAAATTTTAATGTGAGAGAGAAATACCTTCCATATAAAGATAAATACATTTAAAAAAACAATGAGAAGACAACCCACAGAATGAGATAAATATTTGCAAATCTGATAAAGGGTTAATATCCAGAATATATAAATAATTGCTACCGTTCCACAACAAGGAGGAAAACAATCCAGTTTAAAAATGGACAAAGGACTTGAATAAACATTTCTCCAAAGAAAATGTATAAATGGCCAATAAGCACATTAAAAGATATTCAGCATCACATTAAGGAAATGCAAATCAAAACCATGAGATACCTACTTCATATACATTAAGATGGCTATTACAGAAAAGAAACAAAATAGCATGTTGACAGGAATGTGGAGAAATGGAAATGCTTTGTGCATGACTGATGGGAATGTAGAATGGAGCAGCCACCATAGAAAACAGTTTGACAGTTACTCAAAAGTTAAATGTAGTAATGCCATATGATCCAGCAATTCCACTTCTAAGATATACCTAAAAGAACTGAAAACAGGGACTCAAACAGGTTCTTGCATGTTCATAGCAGCACCATTCACAATAATCAAAAGATGTAAATAGCCCAACCCAAAGGTCCATCAACAGTTGAATGTATAAACAAAATGTAGTAAATATATGCAATAACACTCAGCCATTAAAAGGAATGAAATTCTAAACATGCTATAACAAAGATAATCTTGAGAACATATGGTAAGTGAAATAAGCCAGACACAAAAGGACAGATATTGAATGATTTTATTTATGAGATACCTAGAGAAGTCAAATGTATGAAGACAGAAAATCGAATAGAGGTTAACAGGGGCTGAGGGGAGAGGGAAAGAGTATTGTTTAAAGGGTACAGATTTTCTGTTCGGAACTATGAAAATGTTCTCTTTATACAACAAGAGCTTATGTGGCTGTCACTCCCTCAAGCTGTGATGCCCTCACGCCATAACAATCCATCACCAGGAGGCTGCGTGTGCAGTGGGTGCACATGGGTGGGCGGGGCTGTGTGCACAGTGAGGCAAAGTGCGCCTGGGTGAGTGGGGATTTGATGCCGCTTGCTCGCCTGCCTCTTTGGGGCAATCCATTGAGCCCCGGATGGGTGGGTGGGGAGATGGATTGTGGGGCTCCTGCACTGTGAGAAGGCACAGGGCAGGCTGGGGAACCCCCTCCCCGAGTGCACAAATGTCATGCACTGGGCCTCTAGTAGTTAAGTAATGGTGATGGTTGCTCAACATTGGAATGTTGTTAATGTCACTGAATTATATGCATAAAAATGGTTTAAATGGTCAAAAATATGTAAGTAAAATTAAAAATCTGTGAATTGTCATTTTGGTGAGATTTTCCTCCAGGCCTATGAGTTGGTTGCGACTTTGTAGGGATTAATGTCTTGATCTTTTGATATTCTAATTGTAATTATTTCACAAGCTCACTCTTTCAGTTTAGAGAAGTTTTCAGCCACTTGTTATTGATTTCAAAAATTATTCCTCCCCATTTTCTAAGCTAAAAGACCTCCCTTTTGCAGGGAAAACTCTGTAGGAGGGATAAGTGAGTTGTTATAATTTATCTTTACTTCAAACGTGCCTTTATGTCCCCTGAACAGGGTGCACTCAGAGTTTGATGAGACTAAGAGGAGAAAGAGAAGGAAAAGGGAAGAGGCGGGGGTGGGCTGGAGAATGAGGAAGGCTGCCCTCCATGTGTGTCGGTACAACCTGGAGGTGTGGGCTGTCATCAGGAACTGGACTTGAAGCTCTATTTTGTCCAACTGCCAGGCTTAGTCCCTGGCCTAGGTGCAGTCATTACATTTCCCTTCAGTAAACATCCCTCCTCCACAGGGTTAGTGGAAGTGAGAGTGCCTCAAGAAGAAATGCATGTGAAAAGCTTTCTGGAATCCATAGTCCTACAAAAATATAAGATATCTAAGGTTGCTTGTATGTGTAGACAGGAAAAAAAAAAAAAACCCTCTAGGAGTGGGAGGAACACTGTGCTCACAGAGCAAATAAAATGCTGGGGTCTTGGACTGGGTGTGCCTGTTCCATTCCCAGGGGCTTCTGTCCTGCAGTCCTCGGGGGAGCAGACCGTATGTTCTGAAAGCACACGCCCAGTGCTGCCTGAGTCAGGTTAACCGCTTGTCATCAGAAACGGCTCCGGAGGCTCCAGATGTGTTTAGAGGGCTGAGGTTTCTCCCAGCTGCCACCTCTAGTGCAGGGGAAGAGAGAAAAAGCAAGAGTTAGGCTGCCATGCAACTAAGGAAGAGGCAAGAGTCTAAGTCTAGGGATCAGAAAAAATGCAGCTGGAACAGAAGGGAAGACCCTGGGGTGGCTGCACAGGAGGCAGGCTATGCTCTTCACCCAAGCGCTGCGGGTAAGGAAAGGGAGATACCCACGCAGGTGCAGGTGCAGGTACAGACAGGGGGGCCGTCCCACAAGAATATTTACAGAAGTGGTAGGCAGGGCATGTGGGAAATTTTTAATTCCTGCCTTGGAACAATTCTCCTTTCCCCACAACTGAACGGCAACATCTAACCCACCCCTCCTGCAGTCTTGGCTGCAAAAATAAAAATTCGGTCTTCGAGCTTGGAGAGTGAGGTGGGTCAGTATGTGAAAGTGACCCTTGTCTCTAAATCAAAGGCAGTCTGTTCACTCTCCTTACAGGAATGAGTTTGTGGAGGGGAAAAAATGCAATTAAGATATCAAGATTAATATAAGATAGTACTTGGTACAAAATTACAACCGACACAAAGACCTTCAGGAAAATATCTGTCTTCTTTCTCGGCATTAAATAATATTAAATCTAAATCACCCCAGGCTTACGGTCTTCAACCCAATGCTTACCCATCTCCCAAGGAAGAAATTCTATACCTTCCCCCTAGAACTAACCAATCCTCATTATCAGCAAGTTCTTTTCCCAGTGACCTAAATCCCCGTCCCTGACGTGTAAACGCATTTCCTTATGTTCTGCCCTCAGGGAGGTAAAGAACAGCTGCCTGTTCCTCTTTGTAATTACCTCTAGGGACAGTATTTGCACAAGTCTCCTTCGGGCTATACACTCCAGGTTCCTCTCACCTGTCTCTAAAGTCTTCCACCTGTGGTTTCTCCATGGGGCCTCTCATGTCATGCAGCTCTTCCTTAAATCAAGTCTCTTCCCCAGGACCCACCGACCGTGCTGAAGGACTTAGAGAGAAGGACCCGCTTGTAAAGTTAGACCGCCAAAGAGGTGGCAGGAAATCAGATCAGGACACTTCCATGCCTAGCTAAAGAAATAAAACAGATCATCCCTTAAAATATATATTCTAAAAGCGCTGGCAATGTGTAGGCTCAGCCACAGAGCTGAGAGTAATGAAACTTCGTCCTAACACACCCTCCTTCTGAGTGTTTCATGCACCCAGTGGCTCTTCCCTCTGCTCACTCTCCCTCTCCCCCAAGTCTCTCTTCCTCAGGGTGGTGTGAGATTTTAGGAGCAAAACATGAAGACCGAAGACATTCCTGATGGCCAAGTGTGGTGTTTATGAGCAAGAAGCTTTCCTTAAACTCCTCACATTGATTCAGTTGGCCTCCTGCTCCTTCTCCTCCTCCCCCACGTCCTCCCTGCCCATCCTCTCCAGAAGTAGGCTGATTGTATTTGTCACGCAAGGGACATTTCAGAGAAAGCCAGTGCTCCGAGAAGTCAGAGGTCACTGTGAGAGAGAGCAGAGAATCCAGCTCAGAAAACCCAGGGGTTTTTTCATTTTTTTTTCAAAAGCAGAAACATCTGCACATTAACCCCCTCTTCTCGTGACTTTTTCTGTAGTACCACTACCACGTGACAATGGAAAAACTTTTTCATAATCGCTCAGAACGTACAAAGTTTTTGGCAACTTTGTTATATTGAGACATGCCATGCCTTTCATGTAAAAATAGGCACAGAGGTAGGAGGGAGAGTCTAAAGATGGTACTTTTTCAACATTTCCAAGCAGATTCACAGACAGAGACTCTCCTGGGCACACTGCTGGCCGGCGTCCATGGGTTGCTAGGTTAAGTTGACTTAGCCACCCTGATACAATGTATCCTGCCATCTTGAGCATAAGGGCTTTCTTTGTTTGGGTTAGCGTGGGTTTCATTTGGGACGGTGTTTTGCATCAACAGCACTGGAGTTTCCAAAACCAGGGGAGTAGAAAGACCTTTGTAATGGGCCCTGATTAAAATAAACTGACATGGCAACAAATTACATTTGGCCAGTAGACATCAGAAGGCAAACAGTCAGACTTCCTGGGCAGGGAGCAGTAGCGCTGGCACTTTTCCCGAGTGTGAATAATCAGGCACATGTCAAAGTCAGGATGGGACAGCCTTGCTCCTTGTCAATAGCGGAGCCCAGGCCTCCTTGCTTGAGCTGCTCTCAGGCCCAGGTGAGCCGACAAGGGCGGCTGAGGTGTCGGCTTGCCACCTGCTCTCCTGATGTGGCCTCTGTTTCGACGGGGGAAACACATCTTTGACCTGTGCTTCACACACAGCCACGCCGGGCCTTCTAATTCCTGACACGAGGAGGCAGCCGGGAGCGGGTGCACATGTGGAGTGCAAGGGGCTGAATGTTTAAAGTATAGCACGAGTTGTTTGGATCTCTGGAAGTTTTTGTTATTTTGGGTTTTTGTGAGGTGGGGCGGGGTGGGGGGGGGGAGAGTGGACATCAGAATAACTAGAGATTCGATTTTTTTTTAATTTTTTTTTTTTAAGAAATAAAGCTCCCACTGTGGGGAACGACAGTTTGTGACAGAAAGTCACTGTCATGGAAGTAAAGGTCCCGGCCTTTAATCACATACACACAGGACGGGTAGAGGGCAGTGCTGGGGAGGGTCTGAAATACAAATTGCAAAAAAAAAAAAAAAAAGGAGAAAGAGAAGGAGAAGGAAGAAAGAAGAAAGAAGAAGAAGAATTAGAAAAATAGTGTTTCTCTGCTTCTGCAGAAATATTGACCTCCTAGTTCCTCTCCATCCCAGCAATCCCAGAAGAGAAGATAATCGGAGGAAATACAGCAAGGGCCAAACATGTGACAAAGTATGCCAGTGACCTGAGGTTGCGGTGAAAATGCATGTTGTCACTGTGGTTCCTAACAGGGGGGGTGGGAGGCCGTAACCAGACCCAGGCCATGCGCCCCGGCCCTACCTTTTGCAGAACTGCTTTCCGGCAGAGGCTCTGGAGGGGCCCCTGGAAGGGAAGGGGCTCAGCTCCCGGGCTGGGAGGGCAGAGCCTTTGCTCGTGTGTGTTCAGCTGGTGGCTGTGTCTTTCCAGCGGGACAGGAAGGAGGACAGGAAAGAGGAGGCTCGTTCATAAACAGACGTCGGAGGGGGCCGGGGGAGGCTGCTGACCACTCCTTTGTGAAGTGCGCACTCTGACTTTTCCAAGAAGAGGCAGTGTTTGTCATCGGAGAGCCTCGGTCCCTTTTCCCCACCGAGAGCCATTTCGGAGGGCTGCCCCGAGGCCAGTGCACGGAGGAAAACACTTAGCTCTCAGGCCTCTGCGGCCCAAATGCAAACCATGTGTGTGACCGGGCGTCCTCCCTCTCCGCGGCCCTGCGCGGTTGGCACGGGGGCGGGGTTAGCGCAGATGCAGCGGGGACGTAATGAGAAGGGGGATGTTTACTGTGTTAGGAGATACAGCGCGCCCCACAGCGAGCCCAGGAGGGGGGCCAGTTCCCTGGCAACCACAGCCCCCTGTGTGAACAGCTGAACCCCTTCCCCAAAGGTTTTTCTGAGAGCGGGCGCCGCCTCCTCGGATTTCAGGCTGTGTGCTTGGGGGCATGGCTCTCTCCGCTGGGACGAGGGCAGAAGCGAGGCTTCACCACCCACGTTTTGGATGCATCGGGGAAAAGGTCTCCAAACTGCCAGCCATCTCTTACTACAGTGCCACGGTCTCCCCTCCCAAGCCCAACAAGGAGAGGGGACAGAGTTCCCTGAAGACAGGTGCTGGCCAGTTGGGTCCCCAGCTGCAGGTGTGGGGGTTTCCCCCAAAGGTGTAGGCACTACAATCCTGCAGATTCGTCCTCAACTCTCGGGGGTGGTAACCACTGTCGCTGCCTGTCCGTCACCCAGAAAACAGTTCTAGCTTTCCCACGAAGGAGACTTTAAGGACAACAAGAGACTGCCTGGCTGGTGTTGCTCGGCGGTTGAGTGTTGACCCAGGAGCCAGGAGATCACCGGTTCGGTTCCCCATCAGGCACATGCCCGGGTTGTGGGCTGGATCCCCAGTGTGAGTGCGTGCAGGAGGCAGCCAATGGATGATGTTTCTCTCTCATTGATGTTTCTCTCTATTCCTTGCCCTTCCTCTCTCTCTCTCTCTCTAAAAATCAATAAAGATGTATTTTAAAATATAAAGACAAAGAAAAGATCAACAAACAAAACAACCTTACGGGGGAAGGCCTTCCGGTCTGGTTGTTTCAACGCCATGACATGTGTCTCTCTTTGTCCCTTTTCTTCGCCAACCGCAGGGGAGACGGCGGGAAGGCAGCAGGTGCCCACCTCGCCGCCGGCCTCGGAGAACAGCAGCGCGGCCCACAGCATCGGCAGCACGCAGAGCACGCCCTGCTCCAGCAGCAGCACGGCCTAGCCCGCCCCCGCCCCCGCCCGGCCGGCCGACAGACAGACAGCACGGGAGGCCGGACGCCGGAAAGGCTCGGTGATGGTTCCTTTGTAAAGAGAGTGAATGTCAGTGTAATCATCACCTGTTGTATTCACCCCCCCCTCCCAGGGCGGGTCTCAGTGTGCCCCCTGGACTTCCGTGTGAGAAAGCGAAGGTGGTGGCTTCCCCACCGACCCCTCGCAGGTTTGGGGGCTTACAATGTGAAACACGTGCCAGTGTTTTAAAATGCTGCTTTGTCCAGGTAAGAACACCTATCATTCGGGGCCCCGAGTTCCCACCCAGACTCCAGGAATTAGTAAGAGGGTGACAGCCAGATAGAGCCGGTGAGATGTGGCCAAAGATTCCTTTATAACCGAACCGAGATGTAAAGCGGAAAGAGATGCTTCAAGACTCTCTAAGTGCATTCCTCCACGCGCAGTTCGCACCTTCTGGATGCACACCTTGCTGCCGCGTCTGCGCTTAGTAGGTGCTGCCCCGTCTGCGCTTAGTAGGTGCTGCCTCCGGGGCCTCATCCTGCCACGCAGCAAGGCAACATTCCTTTCCTGTGCCCTGGGCCCAAACCCGTGCTGAGCACAATCTCAGCTCCCTCCCTCTTCCCCGCACCAGCACACCCACGGCAAGTGTCTTAAGGCAGATTTCCTATTTCTTTATAGGCCTAGAGAAATTGAAAATGGCCAACATCTGGGCCAACATCCCCTTGATTACATTTTGTTCTGATAAATTAATTATAAATCAGGGCAACATTAAGGAGGAATGTGCTCCGTGATACTGATGCCAGTAAAAGTATATGTCATCTGCCACATTCGTTTTGTCAGTTGAAGAAGAAAAAAAAAAATGCCCCTTTAAAAAATTCCTATACCGTCAGAGTTCAGTGTATTCTTAAGTATATTTGAGAGAATTAGTGTTTTCACCCAAAGCGTGTCGACCTTTTGAATAGACCTTTTTGTAAAAACCAAGCTCTTGTATGATGGCAAATGCAGGGCACAGCCTGTCCCGTGAACAGTGTCGCCAATTCTGCCAAGAAAGTGCCGAGACGGGACTGGCACACTCCTTTGGATTGCTGTAGTTCTCGTGCCTTAACTAGATCCCAAACTCAAAAAGAATTTAAGGTGGAACGATGGAAGAAGATGGAACAATATCATGCCACTTTGCAATTCAAGTAAGCTCAACCGATACCTCTATGTGAAAAAAGAAGCCAGAGGGAAAAATTCCACGCCAAATCATTTACTACTGAGGACAGCTTCATTGCAAATAAATATTATCCTTTTCCCAGATCGCCTCTCCCCGTCCCAAAACAACTCAACATTCTACAAATAGAACAGGCCAGGTTCTGCCCCAAAACATTCATAAGCACATCTCACTGCCCTTCAGCAAGGAAGTTGTGCCTGCTCCTCGGTGAATGAAACCCTCGGCAGGAAATGCTGATGATACCCAAGACCTAAGGGCAGTGTCTGCAAGGCAAACAAGAAGGGTACTCAATTCTAGAGTAATATTCTGACTTATTTGAGAGGCATAGACATTCAATCAGGATCATTTTAACAACAACAAAAAAGATGACTTGAAGGCTAAGGTTTCCGGGTTGTCTATAATTTTGCGTATTTCCACATACAAATGAAGATATGAGATTAGATAATTTTTCCTTTAGTTAACATTTCTTAACATAATGGTATCAGAGTACAGGACTAGATTATGCTACCTGTGTTTGAAAATAATGCGCTTTGCCTAACCTTCAGCAGAATGTATTGTTTTAGCATATTCTATGTATAAAAAGGTTTAAAGATGTCTTCAAAGAAGACTGGAGTCTTTAAGTCACTTATAGCTATATTTTACTATAAAAAATTGTGTATAAAGATATATTTAAGTGTTTTAGATTTTTTAAAAAGTTACTCCATATGAAATGTTTAACTTCAGTTACTGTGAATTCTTCTGATCAGTTCTTTGCTTTTTAAAAAACCCTTTCCATTCTGTTAAAAAAAGAAAAAAAAAGAAAAGAAAATTAGCTATTAAAAAGTATTCAAAGATCCAGTTTTTAGATGGACAGGGTTAAAACTTTTTGTAATATATTTAAATGTATATTTTTGAGAGAGATGCTACATTGCCAATGACTTTATAAATAATTTAAAATTAATTTACAAATTTATAGATGCAAACCAAAAGATTTTAAAAGATAGAGAAGAAAAGAGTCCACTTTTGTTTGTTTGGTTCTGATCGTCAGAAGTATTATTCAGGTCAAGAAATCCATGTTGATAGAACTTGATCCCATGTTAATTGGAGAGTGAATGTCAGTTAGTAGTTCTGAAATGTTCCTTTAAAAATGAACATTTAAAAAAAAAAATTGTGTTTTCTCCCTCGCCTCTGTTACAGCCTTTCCAATTGCTTCAGACTTCACAGTTTTAATACAAAATACTAGCTCAACTTTATAACACATTTTGCAAGTTTCTATAAAACTGTTGTTATATTCCAGTTACACTCTATGTGCTGCCTTTTGTTACTTCTGCAGGCTACACCCCGAGTGCGCAGAAGCCATTTTGTTTGTTTTGTTCGATGCTCAGGCTGTTGTTAAAATGCTCTAAACTCCAAGGCTGATTACTGTGTAACATCCTACAGCTTTTCCCCATGTGGGGTTTAGCAGCTGTTCTGTATGTTAAAAGTCAGAAATGTCTCCAGTGTCTAAGCTGTTTCTGTAGCATTTTCTGAACCACCACAACGAAAAACGGTCTTGTCTTTGTCTGTAATGAGATTGTAAACCCGTGTCCTGCGTGTGTTCTGTGGTGGGCATGATTGTGGGCCTGTGGGGGGCGCGCACGCGCATGCCGGTCTCTCTGTATTGTAACTACCTCATGGTTTGAGTGATGGTTGTACTGCTGGTTGTGTTAACAGAGCACATTTTGTTGGGTGAATCGTGTGTGTGTGATTTTTTCCCCCCTGTTTGTTTTAGCTGGGGATTGTTCATGAAATTTGACAGACTTTTTTTCTGAAAAGGACTATTATCAGTTTCCAAGTACAATGCTTCTCTCTTCTGGTTTTTCCTGAATGAGCCGGATTTTGTTGCTGTTTTTCATCATCTATGAGGGTAGAAAGAGTACCCTGAAAATCCCTGTGGCCAGTTTGAACACCCCTGTTGTATGTAGTCTTTCCCCTGTTGTATGTAGTCCTTCCTCTGTTCAGTGTGTCGGCAATTTTGTGAACATGCTTAGATGTATAGTTTTGATAACCACAGTTTTAAGTACTTTATTTGTGCATAATAAAAAGATATATATCGATTATTAATACATGCCTTGTTTGGTCATCATTAAATTATGCCCTTAGGCGGATAGGACCCTTTTTCATTGTGACTTTCTCCTGTTTCTGACACAACTGTGATGAAGAGGAGGGGAGGGCGAGGCTGAGGTGACCCCGGGCATCCTGGAGCAGAGGGAGGGCGAGACAGGCCGGAGGGAGAGGGCACGGGAGCTGTCACTTCTGGAAGCACAAGGCAGGAGACCCAGAAGTGGGTGTCAGCTTTGGAATCCTTTCCTGGCTTCCTGTCCATCTCCTAGAGGCAGGGAAAGAGAAGTCATGTGTACTTTGGATCTACTTTTTTTTGTCTCCTTCAAATACCCCAGTGCTCCTTACGGTATTCTCTCTCCATATGGCACTGCCCCCTTCCCGCTGCCCACGCCAGGAGCCTGGGCATCAAACTTGACCCCTCTTTGGCTCCCACACCCCCAAATGAATAAACCCAAGTGAATCCCACCTTCGGAGCACTTCCCCTCTCGCCTTCAGGATCAAGTTCAATCCAAACCTGGTTGGAAGAGAATAATCTGCCCCCCTCCCAGCCACATCTCTCCCTTCTCCAGAGCTCGCCAGATAGTTGTTACGAATATAAATCTTCACCATCAAAGGTTAAATTATGACATTGAATGAGTGTTTATAAATTACACTATTATATCCCTATCTTCTGCCCCTTTAAGAATGAATAATGTAGAGTTAGAAATAGGAACCCGAAAGGGTACCGCGGCCAGCGGTCCACCCTCACACTCACACAGGCAGGTGCTCACACGGCAGGAACCGTGCGAGGCGCTCACAGCATCTCCCTGCAGTGCGGCTGGGGCTCTTGTTACACATGAGGGTCCAGCCATTCTCCCGCACCAACGTCATTCCTCGCAGCCAGCTCCTCTCAAGAGGATAGAGGGAGAAATTGGCAGTTCCACTCTTTTTTTTATTTATTTTCCTAATCCTCACCTGAAGATGTGTTTTTACTGATTAGAGACAGAGGGAGGGAGCGAGGAAGGGATGGAGGGAGAGAGAAACATCGATGTGAGAAATGTGAGAGAGAAACATTGAGCGATTACCCCAACCAAGATCAAACCCACAACCTAGGTATGTTCCCTGACTGGGAATCAAACCCACAACCTTTTTGGTGTATGGCACAGCACTCCAACCGATTGAGCCACCCAGCCAGGGCAGCTGTTCCACTTATTTTTTTGCCGTTAAACTCTCCTTGTGGCCAAAACCGGTTTGGCTCAATGGATAGAGCATCGGCTTGAGGACTGAAAGGTCCCAGGTTCAATTCTGGTCAAGGGCATGTACCTTGGTTGCAGGCATATTCCCAGTAGGGGGTGTGCAGCTGATCGATGACTCTCTCATTGATGTTTCTATCTCTCTATCTCTCTCCCTTCCTCTCTGTACAAAATCAATAAAATATATTAAAAAAAAAAAAAAAAAAAACTCTCTCCTTGTGTCTATGGAGCAGAATCCTAGGCTATCTGTGAAGAGGCTTAAAGAGACTACCAACTATGTGATATTATAGTAAAATTTTGCTTTGACGTTTCTCAGACTTTTTGTTTTGTTTTGGGTTTTTGTACTTACACCCTCTAAAACAATTACTTTTATTGCCCACACATTAATACGTATGTATAAAATAAATGCAAACAATACAGACACAGTTGGCAGTGAAAAAGCTCCCGTAATCCTCTCAGTTAGGG